TATTTTTCCTTTAAATTTGCTTGCCATATTATATCTTTTTGTTTTTCACAAGAAAGATCTTTGAATTGAACAAAACATTGTTTTCTAGAAAACCCAGTTTTGTGGCAATTAATGTTTTTCTAAACTTTTTCTAAAGTTACATTTCTCCATATTAAATATGTTTATTATTTATAATATTACCTGCCAAAAAATACAAAAACAATAAAATTCATAATCATTCTTTAAGAAAATACAAAGAAGTCAAGTACAACCTTTAAAAAGAACAAAACAAAACATTTGCTTGTTTTTGATATAAGAGGTAAACATTCAATGATTTGAATTGAAATAATGAAAAAAAATTGTTTTTCAAACTTAAATTAAAAAAATTTTTTGTTTTTAAATTGAATTTTGATAATACTTATTATTATATAATTTAATGCAGAAAAAAATTAGGGGGCTCTGACCAATTCTGGGGGGGGGCAGAATTCGTCAAAAGCTCCCTGGCCCTCCCTTGGCTTATGACTATAAACGTCCTAAACTAGTCAATAAACAACACTCTTTGATGTTTTATTCAAATAAATGTTTTAAAAAACATTTTAATTGCTTTTATTACCTAATTTAAATTTTTCTAAAAAGACACAATTTTTAAACGCAAATTTTGATAAAGTATTAGAGAGACAATTAATAAATCTAACTTTTTTAGTAGACCTAAGATAAAATAATGATATACATTTAAACTTTTTATTCGGGATTTTGGGCCACAGTCTTCATTTTACCTCCAAAAATCATGAATTTTCAAGTCAATAATTTTGAACAAAATTGGATAAATGAGGCATTTCCTAAGATAATCGAGTCTTGAGGGTGCTCTTTTTGGATTTAACTAAAATTTTTGCAGTTATTATTTTTTAATATGGACTGAAAGTGAGGTAAAAAATAAACAACTTCTGAGACATAAGGGTGTCAAAAATGGGTTTTTTTGATGACTTTATATGGAATTACCCATAAAACATTTAAAAAGATAAGTTTTAATAACATTTACTTCAATCATAATAAAAAAGGAAATAAAAAGTTTCGTTTCAAGTTTAAGTTGTATTTTTATTTTTTTATTTTAGTGCTCATATAATTTTAAATTTTGTAAGGAATTATTTTTCGTTTCTCTTCATTAGGAATTTTTTTTTCATAAGTTTTTTTTTGAACTTATTTCCTAGTTTAAGTTTAGCATTTCTACATTTAGTGTTTAGTTTACATTATTGCTAAATGTTTAAATCATTAAAACATATAAACAATAATGGTCAAGTAGTCAAAAAATAAAATCATTTGGGGGTCAGCAAGAGCACTCGATCGCATGCCATTCCTGTCCAATATATATATATATATATATATATATATATATATATATATATATATATATATATATATATAATATATATATATATATATATATATATATATATATATATATATATATATATATATATATATATATATGTATGTATATATATATATATATATATATATATATATATATATGTTTGTTTTATACAGGCGATTCATGGAGATAATATTTTTATTATCTCCATGATTCGCCTCTATAAAACAAACATGTCAAATATATATATATATATATATATATATATATATATATATATATATATATATATATATATATATATATATATATATATATACAGGATTTCACAGGAAGACGTGCAATTTCATATCTTTATATGACCACGCAAAAAAAATGTTTTAACGATTTGACCACGGCATATTTTTAAAATTTAAAAACGCGCTACAAAAACTTACTTAAACTTATCTGAAAAAAAATTTTTAAAAATAATAGATATTAACGAAAGAGAAAATAAAAAAATACTTAGTTAAAGCAAAAAGACAAAAAAATAAATATATAGATAACGGAACTAAAACAAAACTCATCAAACTAAAATACTTAGTCTATTTAATTTACGTATTAAAAAACCTTTTCAATCTTTGTTTCAACAGTTTTCTAAAACTTTTTTATTTAACGAAATTTTGTTTACCTTTTTAAATGCATTAACTTTAATTATTCTTATATTTAAATTCGTTAAAGAGACTTTTGTAGTCGAAGAATGTCATCATTTATAAAAACAAAACAATTTTTTATTTTTTAATAAGATTTATTTTATTAAAATTTATTAATTAAAAAAATATATACAACTGTCAATTATATTTAAAAAACAAAACTTTTTTTTCAGTAAATTGTTACTTTATTTAAAATCGTTTCGCTAATATAAAAACATTTGTTAAGAAGTTTTGATGTAATTAATTTCATTTTTTTAGAATATTTTTTATTTAGCACGTTTCTAAAATGTTTTTTGAATTAGCCGCGGTCAAACGGTCATAGCAAAATGTAACTTGCGTGGTCATATAAAGACCTGAAATCGCACGTCTTCCTGTGAAAGCCTGATATATATATATATATATATATATATATATATATATATATATATATATATATATATATATATATATATATATATATATATATATATATATATATATATATATATATATATATATATATATATATAACGCGCAAGATAAGATACCAAGTCTAAATTTCTAGATTTAGAGATATAAGCATTATTAATTCGTATTCGGAGATATAAGTGTTATATATTAAAATAAAAACATAAAAATAATATTATTACTTTTATGTTTTTATTTTAATATATAACGATTATATCTATTATTAAAATGAAAACATAAAAATAATAATATTATTTTTATATTTTTATTTTAATATATAATGCTTATATCTCAGAATGCGAATTAGTAAAGCTTATATCTCTGAATCTAGAAATATAAACTTGGTACCTTATCTCATTTTTCGCTTCATATTTAAGTGTGTGTGTGTGTGTGTGTGTGTGTGTGTGTGTGTGTGTGTGTGTGTGTGTGTGTGTGTGTGTGTGTGTGTGTGTGTGTGTGTGTGTGTGAAGTGATATAGGTGAAGGTCAAGATGTTAACAATGAAATGACAGCTTTGAACACTCAAAATTAATCAAAATTAAATAAATATTTTCACTGATACCTTTTATTATTTTTAAGATTTAAATTGGTTCTTTTTTAATTTAAATTAGTTATTAAAAATTATATTAATCATATTAAAAATTCAAAAACATCAATCAAAATTCAAAACTTAGAATGTTCAAAAATTTGATAACTTTGCGCCAAACATAACTTAACAAACTAAACATATTCACTGATATCTTCAGTTCAGTTAAGATTCAATTATATTTCATTTATTAAAAATGTTGAAGGGTACTAAAAGAAAACTAAAAAGTAGAACTATTACAGAAAAATACATAATTCTAAAAAAACTCAACAAGGGAGAATCATCTGTATCTATATCAGACAAATATAGCATCCCAAAGCATTGTCTTGATGTCTTAATGGTCAAAAGAAAAAAATAATATATTCAAAAGTAAATTTAAAAAAAACTTATGGAGAAAGAGTGACGGTGTGGATTAAACATGTTATATAAGACTTTTAAACACTCAACATTGAAACATTCCTATTTGTGGAACCATTTTCAAAGTCAAAGCTTTGCATTTTGCAAAAGAACTCTGTTGTGATAACTTTCAAGCAACCAATGGATGATTAAATATATGGAAAAAAAAAAAGCAATATTAGGTATTTTATCGTTTCACTGTACATTGATATTTATATATTTTTAAGCTATTTGCCTAAAAAACAATAACTCTTAAACCTCATTGCTTTAAAGGAATTAAAAGCACTCGATGCTAATACTGTGCACAAAAAGAGTTTGATGACCTCTGAACTATTTGAGGAGTGTGTCAAAGAAATTAACAGATTTTTTTTTTTTTAAACATTCTCGCTTCGAACAAGGCTGCAAACAACCACTAATTAGAGTTAAAAATTACTTGAAGAGAAAAGATGAAGATTGTAGAGCAAGATAATGATTGACAAGCGACTTAAAAGATTGCAAATCATATGAATCAGGAAAGCAATATGAAGAAAGCAAATTCCAAAGGAAAAAAAGCAGAGGAATAAAAAATTTTGGAGCACTTAGGAACAGTCACAGAAAAAGGATGAGACTTAATTGAATGACGAGTAACACAAGAATGAATTTTAGTAGATGGCACAAGAGACGCTAGCTCTTTAGAGCAGTGCCCATTATAGTATTTGTAGAAAAGAGAAAGAAAAGCAACATTACAACATTTGCATTAGAATGCTGTAACATTGGTTAATACATAGCATTGAACTTTTATTTCCATTTCGTTACCCAAAATCAATATTTACCAATCCAGTTTTTTCTTTTAATTTGTTTAAAATCCAATTGAAATGCAATTGATGCATTTAAAAGGTGAGAAATGCAGAGGAGGTAACAATTGAATAATACAACTAATTGGGCTTGCTGCAGCTAATATGTGTGCAGAAAAACTCTCAATGTTTGTTATTAGAAAACCAAACAAACACTATTGCTTTAGGAATAAGAAGCACTTCTTGTCATTACTGTGTGCAAAAAAAGGGCTGGATGACATTCTGAATAATCCCCATACTTGATGCTATGATAATGCTTTTTTTTCTTCTTGAAATAAAGTTTCAGAAACCACAATTATTAACAGCTGCAAAGCAAGATTTAAGGAATGAGTAGGAGTACCGGACAAAGATGATGAATCTTTAGGATCTGTGTGTGTGTGTACGTGTGTGTATATAAATTAAAATAATAAAATGCCATTTCACAGTTTGTTTGTTTTTAACTCATATCATCATTCATACAGTTTGCTTTATTACAGAACTAACTAATATAAATAATATACTAATTATTATACAAAAATATATACTTTAATTTTATAAAGGAATTTCTAATCTATTTCATAAAATAATTGTGGATTAAAACTTTAGAAGTCATAATAATAGTAGATTTTTTTTTACTATAGTAGCAGATATTTTTTATTAATCTTTTTTTTATCAATAACCTAATAGTATATGCATAAATGATTAGAATTAAAAGATTACCTTGGAAAATGTTTTATTACTCTTTTCAGCAGGAACGTTTTGTTTTTTTGAAACCAACTGCTCTTCTTTTCTTATTAATTCTGCTTTCAAATCAAAAAGACCACTTTGCATTATTTTATATATGTATTTTATCTATATGAATTTTTTGTGTGTTTATATCTTTATATGCATAAACTCAAATAGCAGATTAACAGATTCACATATAAAAAAACATATTTTTAATAATATATCTATAATAAATATACCACTTTATTTTAAAATTTAGCATTGCATTAAATCAATCATTAAATCAATTATTATATTCATATACTTAATAAAAACAATTTTTTTAAACATGATTTCAAGTAGTAACAAAAACATACACACTAATTTCTAAAATTATATAAGACAATAAAAACAAATACTTTAACAATTTTTAATTCTATTTTTTAGCTTTAAGAGCTAAATCAAATCATTTTAAATATCATCTACAAGCTGCACTTCTTCTTTTATAATTTTATCATGACCTTCAAACAAAAAATAGCCTTTAAACTTTTCATTTTTGAGCAAGTGTGGATACCATAAATAGTCATCAGGCCACATTTGATCAAAAGGTATATCTGAATAGTTAAACCACTGTGGATGCATTTCATCACTTTCTGTTATTACTCCTGAATAACAATCACAACGAAAAACATGCACATTCAGCAGCACAGGATCATTGTCAAATTCAAAGATTATGTTACCAATTTTATTAAATATCTCAATAGTTAACCCACACTCTTCAAATGTTTCACGAATAGCACATTCTTCAATACTTTCATTTTCAATGACCTTGTGAAGATTAATAACTTATATTTTCGGAAAATTTAATATTATAAAAAAAACTATTTTGGTACGAATAATTTTATTTGCTCTTTTTTTATTTAAACAAATTTATCCATAATAAATAATAGAAACATACTTTTCCACCAAACCCATTCCAACGACCACAACCAAAACCTCGTTTCTTCATTCCAAGTAAAACTTGATTTTTATTTTCATTTATTATCATGACCAAAGTTAAATCTTTTTTTAATGTCATTTTTATATTACAAATGTTTTTTTTTTCTTCATTTTAAATTTAAAATTAATAAAAGTAAATATTATTATATACTATAAATAGTTATTTTTTCAAATAAATTATTCAAATTTAATGAAGATTTATTATTTAAATCTTTCGATTTTTAAAATTAAATTGAAATAACAATTTTAGCTATTAAACTTAAAAAAGTTTTTCCTAAATTTGCTGAGTTTACTGAATTTTGATTTATTGCACTTTAATTTTTTTTTAAACGCGCGTGAAAAAAACCGTTTCAACTTTAATGTTTGATCACTATCTTTATTTTTTTCATGCCAGAGTGGGCATTGAACCGCGGACCTTTTGCCTTCTTAGCACTACTTGAATAATTTTAATTTTTTTTTAACCACTGCACCGAGGGACGTTGCACTTGGTCCAAGAAAGATTATCACGGATATTCCGAAACGAGCCAGTGCCTATTTTCCAAAAACTGGAAATTTTATGGAAAATTAGGAAAAGTTTACTGACAAGATTAAAACTTCTGTAGTCCCACCATTTTTTCTTTGACCCACCCGACTGAAATCGCATTTATAATGATTTGATTACATACCGTATGCAAAATCCACAAAACAAGAATAAAATATAGCAAAATCATTTGCTAAAAAATATAATCTTTTTTGCACTAAAAAGAAAAAAATAATTTTTTTAATTTAAATTTAATAGTTCAGTAAACCAGGTCTGCAGAAGATTTATATAGAAAAATACTTGTTAATTTACTGAACTATTCGATTTAAATTAAAAAATTTATTTTCTACTTTTTAGTACAAAAAAGATTTTATTTTTTAGCAAATGTTTTTGCTATACTTTATTTTCTACTTTTTAGTCCTTACAGAGAGTTACGATATTTAACAATGCGTTTGTCAAACCAATTGTAATTAAATCGAGATTTTTATCCTTATTAAAGAAAGTATTTCCTGATTAAAGGAGCGGAATATTTTTTTTTTAAGGATAAAAAATTTTTAATAAGTAAAATAACATAAAGTACAAGTATTTGATTTGCCACCGTAGTCCTCCCACATAATATACTACATATTATGTAGTATAATTTTATATTTTAAACAAAATTATGTTGAAAGTTTTAAGATCTTACATCTTAAAACTTACAACATAATTCACCTCAAAATGTTTCCGATTACTTTGATTACTTCAAACTGATTCAAAATGTTTTTATTCTATCAGAAAAAATACTGATTTGCTATTTAAAGCATAGTTTGATTTTAAAGCATAATGACAATGAGACGATCTGAAGGACGTATATTTTGAAGCATAATGATTCTTGAGACGTGCTGAAGAACGTATATTTAAAGTTTAATGAAAGAAAAATTGAATAAATCCTATTTTTTACATTCTATTACCATCAAATAGCATTTTCTAATTACATTTTTATACATTTTCTATTATTCTCTCCAAAAAAAATTTCAATAAATTGCTCAAGATTCCCTTGGGTGATTTTTCTTTCCTTGTACTTATTGTTATTTTTTTGCTTATACTCCAACCTTTGTTGATAAAAATCTGGATAAGCAGGTTTGATAGATTTTTCACAAGAGGATACCAAGGATAATTGTTAGTAAATGATGAAGATCTTGATGTAGTAGAAGACAATGTAAATTTTGGGTGTTACACTTGCACCAATTAGCAAATACTACCTTTTGAAAGCTTCAATTTTTTTGGCAATAGCGGCCTGAAGGAATAATCAAAAGCAAGGTTTGATAAATAAATAGAAACTTTTCATTGTTTAAATGTTGAGAAAAATTTAGTAAACCGAGTTTGTATCATCAAATTGCTGTAGAACTACCATATTATAAAAAAGATTTTAGTATTCTTTTCCCTCGAACTGGCCTCTATAATAGTAGCTCAGTCGAGTGAGTTTGGGGTTTGGATAAAAGCTGAAAAGTGACCAGCAGCCACTTTTCAGCTTTTATCCAAACAGTTTGGGATCTTGATGAGATGATTGACTACTCCCGAAGAGGAGATATTTGATTGCTGAGATAATTTTTAAAATCAAAATGTTCCAAGACCCTCTGACAATTGGCTTTCCAATGATATTTTCAAACAACTTTACAATTTTACCAACTTTGCTTGATTGCTGAGAATGTATTGGATTGAATTGAGCCTAGTCTTCGCATGTTTCTGGAATGGAAAAGACTCTTTGGTTAGACGTCACGCCGTATGCATGGATGCATACTAGAGTGAAAACCAAATATTTTATTTACATATAGAGGCTTGAGCACAGTAAAAAGATCAGCGTACATTGAATACAATGATCGCTTTACTGTGCTCTTTACAATCATAAAATACTTTGCTTTTCTGAAAAATATCAAGAAAGATTTTTAAAATTCTGAGTTATTCTAAGAATAGTAATTTCCGTTACTTTTTATTATTTTATCTACTACCAGAGGCGATTCTAAAATAAATAAGGGTTGGGGGGTCAATTCCTTAAAAAGTACCGACTGGTTCCAAAAATTGGGCCAAAATTTAAAATTTATTGACTGAATTGTGTCAAATGCCCGACTATATTTGTCAAAAAATCGACTATAACTTGAAATTCACCTTTTGGGGAGGGGGGGAAAGAGGGGTTGGAAAACTCTGAAAATCGCCTCTGCCTACTATATGTTTGCAAAATAAGAATACAAAAAAAAAGAAAAACAAGATTATTTTAACAAGATCTAATAAAAAAAAATAATAAGTATATTTTTCTTGCTGTATATTATTTTCATGGTGCAAGCAAGTTTAAATAAAAATTTGTGGACAAGTTCAATAAACATTTTGTAAATGTTTAGATATATGTATGTATTGGTATGTTATTATTATTATTGTTATTATTGCTATCATTATTATTATCATTATTATTATTGTTATTGTTATTATTATTATTATTATTGCTATTATTATTATTATTATTATTATTATTATTATTATTATTATTATTATTATTATTATTATACTATTCAGTATCTAATATATATATATATATATATATATATATATATATATATATATATATATATATATATATATATAAATTTTTGTTTTTGGTGCCCCAATAATACCTTACGGTCTGTCACAGAGCACCACGGTAGAGTATTTAAATAGGAAGTTCACGCCTTCTTCCTTACCGATGCACATCGGACCAGGTAGTGGACAAAAGTAAAAAAAATACATTTTCTTAAAAATTACATTATTGCATACCATTTTATTGCTTAAACATTCAGCCTTTATAAAATGTATACATTTTTGTATAATTATTATGCCGTATGTAGAACAAAAAGCTTTTTTTTTAAAAAAAATTTCGTATTTTTTTTAATTTCAAATTATTTTTTGTGTTACTAATAAGCATAAAATAGTTGTTAATTTTAAAACCTCTTTTTTTATTGCATAATTTTATAAAATCAAGTACTATCTTTCAAATGATGCTATTGCATCAGTATTTTGCGCGTAAGTTATGTCTAATAAAATGATTTCAGATGTCGGCGTAGTTGAAGTACTTTTTTCAGTTAAGATTTTACTTATATAATTGAATACTTTTACGGTCCAATGTGGTTCAAGGTGGTTCAAGGTGGTCCAAGGTGGTCCAAGGTAGTTCAGTAATTTGAGGCTTGAAATACATTGTTCAACATTTATTATCCATATAAATTAGGCTTATAATCCGCGGATGTCCGACTGGTCGACAGTAACGATCTTTACAAGTTTACTGATATATCCAATTTTATGTGGCGAAAAAATTATATGTATTTTATTCTATATAATTATGAAATAATTGTGTTTCAGTGAGATGAGATTAGTGTTACAATCTTGTTTTAATATTAATAAATCTTAAAATACCAATTTATAAGATTTTGTAAGTGTAATTCATGTTTTTGAATATTTCAAATATAAACAATATTGATATTTATTCATATATAGCTAATCTTAATATTTTGAATGCAGTTGTAAACTTGCACAAACTTGCGCAAACTTAACTGCAAACAATAACTGGTCTAATTTTGTAAAGCATTTTTGAGAATAACAAACAATGACTACAAAATGAACCGATATTGGTTCAACATGTAATTGGTAATAAGTATATTCTTCTAACTGGCTCCATTGATAAAGACAACTCTGTTCTTATTCAAGTGATTGGCGTCGTTAATTGCATTTTTTTTCTTCTGAACTATTGTAGTTTGCACCAAGATGGTAAAGAAAAAGAAACTTAAACTGCTTTACAATTATCAGAATATATGAGTTTTGGTATGAAAAGCAATATTAAACCAATTTTTTTTTATTATTATATACACAAAAAGGTTTAAGGTTTAGATTCTTTTTTATATGGATTTATATGGATGGATAGTTTCATGAAATGTAAAAAAGAGTCCTAAGACTGCATTAAAACACATAAAGTTAGTAATTGGATATGTGTTCAATTTTTTGAATGCATAAAATAATTTTCAATCAGAATGCAATATTAATATTAGTCTTGTTTATAATTTTGATGTTTTCAGAAATTTAAGTTAGTAACTATGCAAAATGAGCCGTTGACAGGTATTTCATGTTTCACGACCAAATAAAAAATTATTTTTTACCTTCGTACCTTAATACCTAATCTTTACTACATTTGTAGTATAATAATACTGTATGTGGTAATTATGGGAGTAATCCAATTAAGTTATTACTTTAGTTTAGTTTATCTTTACAATGGTTAATAAAATAAGTGATTGGTAAGCAATTCAGGTATCCATAGCAACCCCAAATTAAAACTAATGTCACCATTGAAACCGCAATCCTCATATTATAGTAAACAGTGCAAAAACGGTCCTTAAATCTTTTTTATTTGAAGAGTTACTTGAAGAGTTAGTTTTGTCCACTAAAAGTGAATTTTGGCCTACTGTGCGACAGCGCTAAATATGTTCAGAGCTCGTTTCGAACATTGGATTATCTTGCTTATAGAGAAAGCGCCCTAATCATCATGGCCGCTAAATTTATGACTTTTGCATTTTTTAAATTTTATTTCAAATTTCAAGTATCAAAAACGCTGGTGTTATGTTATGGAAAAAAACTGTAGTTAAAAACTAGGTAACAAAATGATAAGTAACTAAGTTTTTTGTGGACAATATTCTTTGGATTGATAATGAATTGAAGATATTGTCAACCTCTGTGAACAGTTGAGTCGGAGAAATTCTAAACGCATTCTATTTATTTAAAATATTTGTAAAGAAAAATACAATTAGTAAAAAGTAACAAGCGAAACTGTTATTTGTATAGTTTGTAACCTTGATAACGTTTCTCATATTGTTCTTTTTCAACCGAAAATCATTTAGAAGAACAAAAATAGACACTAAGAAACTATATAAATTTAGTTATAGTGTAATTTTTTTCTACAAATCATTTTTAAAAAGCAACCTTAATAACCTAGGAACTGGGAGTATAACCATTTTATCACTAAAAGAAAACAGCATTAATTTTGTTGTAGGAGATAGGAGCTTAAGGGAATATTCGAAGTGACGTAAATGCTACAGCTAAGCTACAAATAACATCGTTCAGTTGAAGGAGTTGTATTAACATAATAATTAATGTTAATACATTAACATAATTTTCTATTATTAAATGTTCACTTGTTTTAAAAGTTACTTCCGTAAGTTCTTTAAAAAAAGTACGTTCTTTAAAGAAGATTGCTTACTAAGTTTCTTGACTAATTTCTTTAACTGTTTCTATAAATAATTTAAAAGCGTTTTACAAACGTAAACTTACTTAATTTGTATTTGACTTTTACAAAAAATGCTTTGTGCATGTTTTAAAGCATCCCAGCAAACATTCTATAGCAGAATTTCAGTGGACCTATGTAAGCATTTTGAGCGGACCACAGTAATTATGCTCATGGTGAACCATTAGTGGTAGCCCCCTAAATTGGTTAGCCTACAACTAGCCACTATTAACATGTCGGAAAGTTATCGGCTTATCATTTATAGCTGCTGCCAATAGTGGTCTACCAAGTAACTGATCAGCAAAAATCCAATGAACCACTAAAAAATGCCTATATAGGTCCACTGAAAATCCACTAAAACAATGTTTGTAGGGATTTAATCTCTAACAGTAATTATCAATTTTTTTTTTTTAAACTGTTATTCAAAAGCCATATAACGTGTTATTCAAAACAAGTATACAAGTAATTTCTATAAAACAAAATAAATAACAAAAAGAAAACGTCGAGATTTATCACTCTTTGTCAAGAAAACTTTGTAACTAAATTTCTTCAATGTTAATAGTTTTGGTTAAAATGCTTGTCAAATAGTTTTTAAGACCTCGTTCCCTAAATGTATTTTGCATAGTTTTATCTAAAATATTACCTATTATAACATGTCTTAATTCTCTATCACCTTTACGATCGAAACTAGAACAACCAAATGTTTTTATCGATAACAAGCCAGTAAACATTCTATACCGGAATTTTTGTGGACCTATATAGGCAATTTGAGCGGGCCGCTGTTGATTTCCTCATCGGTTACTTAGAATACCTTTAGAGGTAGCCGCCAAAAGTGGCTAGCCTATGACTAGCCACTATTAACATGTTGAAAAATTATCAACTTGCCATTTATAGTGGCTGCCACTCATAATCCACTAAGTAAGCGATGAGCAAAACTTCAATGAACCACTAAAAAGTGCTTATATAGGTCCACCGCAAATCGACTAAAACAATTTTTGCTGGGAATGATCGATTCCTCCACTTGAATAACCGTTTTAACGTTTGTTAAGATATCCATTGTTTAGTCTAATTATGCCATAGTTCTTATTATAAAAAATTATTTAATAGTTCAAGTGTTTATACTTTTACAATATTTAAAGAAAATTTTCATAACTAAAAGAACTTAAAACTTATTCGTCAAAATAAAAATAAAATAACCGTTGAAAAAAACAACATTTTTATTAAGAAGAATGTTAAATTTTTAAAAGTGAAAAGTCATTTTAAACAAAATTATGAATTTTATTTAAAATCCATATTATTTTTATAATTTTTATTTCAAGAGAGTATAGAGAAGCTTAATAGACAATTAGGTTCAAAGTAGCTTAACCCTAACATTTAACTGTGCATCATACCCAGCAAATATTTCTTTAGTGGAATTGCAGTGGACCTATATAGGCATTTTTTAGCGAGTCATTGAAGTTTTGCTCATTGCTTACTTAGTGGATCATTAGTGGTAGCCGTTATAAATGGCAAGCCAATAACTTTCCGACATGTTAATAGTGGATAGTCATCGGCTCTACCCCTTTTGGCGGCTGCCACAAATGATCCATTAAGTAGCCAATTTGAAAACCTAAAGCAGTCCGCTCAAAATGCGTAATTAGGTCCACTAAAATTCCGTTATAGTATGTTTGCTGGGACATTAATAAACTGTTAAAACTGATTGCTTGTATTAATATTTAAATATAATATTTTCTGTTTTATAGTAAATAGTGCAACAAATTTACTTGTTGTACAACATCGTTTTATAAACAAAGTGTTTGCTACTCATATGTTAACTAGACACTAACTGGGTCTCATTGTTGAGCCAATTAAAGTAAACTATAGTTTGTCCAACTGCATATTCAATGTAACGAACTACCGCAAAATGTTGTTGGGTTAATTGCAAATCTAATTTAGTTGCGCCATTTAACAAAGAATGTGGCTGATCCAACAAAAGACGTTGTGATTATCATTTCATTAATACGAGCATGCTTGAAGTGAGGCGGGATGAGCTGGGATGCCATCATGTTACTTTTTTATTTCTTCTTCGATATAATAGTTATTAGAAAAAGGGGGTTTTTTGAAATGATTAAAAAACATTCCGTTACTACTTAAACAAAAAGGTTTTTCGTTTAAAAGAAAAATTTTTATTGAAATTTTTAGCGCTTAACAAAATACTTTTCATTAGTATTTATTAAAAGTCTACAATATAAAATGACTTAGGATATATTATACAATATAAATTATATATATATATATATATATATATATATATATATATATATATATATATATATATATATATATATATATATATATATATACATATATACATATATATATATATATATATATATATATATATATATATATATATATATATATATATATATATTATACGTACGTACATACATACAAACATGCATAAATACGTTCATACATACATGTAAATATATATATATATATATATATATATATATATATATATATATATATATATATATATATAATATATAATATATATATGTATATACATATATATATATATATATATATATATATATATATATATATATATATATATATATATATATATATATATATATATATATATAGATATATAGATATACTTACATACATACATATTTACAATCAAACATTTAAATATATATATATATATTCATATATATATATATATATATAAATATATATATATATATATATAATCATACATATATATACATATATATATATACATATATATATATATATATATATATATATATATATATATATATATATATATATATATATATATATATATATATACATATATATATATATATATATATATATATATATATATATATATATATATATATATATATATATATATATATATATATATATATATATATATTCGTTGTAAGAAATGACTCTTATAGAAATATTACACAACCTATTTTAGTTGTTAAAAGAAAATTTTAAAATTATTACTGTTTAAAAGAGCTCCAAACTTCAAAAAGACATGCTCCAGAATGAAATCGAAAAAATATACACAATGGGTAAGCAAATATAGTTATGGCACGCCATGCAGTTTCACCAAAAAGTTTTGTCTGAACAGGTGTTGTTGAAAGATTTCGCAATTCAAAGAACGAGTCTTGACCCCATAATGCAAGATTTGTTGTCATTAAAAATAAAGCACCTTGTCTTACTAACTCTTCGTGTGTTCCTGTCATTAAAGACGGTCTAAATCGCATGGCTTTAACTATAGTTGTAACTTGAAGCATTGACTCTATAAGTACTAGTATAGACTTAATCAGAGAAAATATACCAATTCCTTCAAAATATTGTATCTCTGTCACTGCTGCGGTGAAACTTAACCCAGAGTATAAGAAAACACCAGTAAATGATACAATTAGGAGGGAATCGTCCGATTTGTATGGATACCAAGAAGGACGCTGCAGTTGAAGCGCTTTTAAAATCATCCATAAACAAACTATTGTAATCGAATGAAGAGTAATCTGGTAAATATAATAAAACTTTAAAGCATGGAAAGAATCCTTGTCAATCCAAAGAAATGCTACTGAAATAAATAACAAAATAGAAAGCAATATTCCGAGAAGAAATCCTGGATCTGAAGATGGTTTTTTTGTATCTGTAATCTCATGTGATTCGTGAATTTCCAGACATGATTTACAAATAGATTGGTTTGAAATTCGACTGTATAATGAAATGTGGCTTTGGGATCGAGATAACGATGGGCTGCAAGCACTTCCAAGATAACCAGAACTATCGTCGGGGAAATCTTTCATGTTTCGATCTTTATCATCTCCTTCAGCATCGTGATGTATTTCATCATATATGTAAATGTCTTGTGGATCAGGATCTAAATCTCTCATTCCACTCCACATTGTATACAACATACCGCCTTTAAACAATAGTTGTAAAAATTAAAAAAAAAGTTTTATAAATTAAAAAAATTCAAAAACTTAAATCAGTAATTACTAAAATAAGCTTATTAATTTTTTATCTTATGGTAACACACTTACCGTAACACACTTACTTTAAATTAAGTTGGTGACCATTTACAATATTAGATTTAGTTTAATAAATATATTTTATTTAACATACCAGCAATAAGTGAATACTCCATAGTAAAAGGATAAAGATATGGTTCACTGATGCTCCATATCCTAGACATTGGTACATTATCAGCACCACACCAAAATCTATGACCTGGTACTGCTTCTTCAGCAGATTTAAAAAGAAGTTCGGCGTGACTGAACAGAGCACGAAACCAAATGCATATATTTGTTCCAAGAATATGAAACAACACCAACCTTATGTTTTGCGATTTGTGCCAAGTAGCATTTGCAAACTTTCTTAAAAAAAGAATCTGAGTTAGTATAAATACAGCTTTAAAAAGGGAAAAGAATAAACTTGATATATTGCTAGAACATTGCAGATAAAAAGAAATATGCAAAATATCCATAACGGAACTGCCGGCTCCGAAAACATATGCTCCTGCCATTAAAGGTCTATGTGAATGCGGTAATGTGCTTATAAAGTCAACAGTTTTACGGTCATTTTTTTTGCAAAATATATATGATATCCAAATTAGGGCAGGTAGAATACATGTTATAAGAAAACCGTCAATGTGATCAGTTGTTATGCCCACAATATTAGAATCATTTTGTAACCATGCAGTAATGTTCATAACAATCCCTGCTGTCGTTAAGCATATTAAATAGACAACGCTTGCAATACGCCCGTCGGATTTCGTTCCGTCAGATGGAAGTATGGGTTCCAGAAGATACATAAGAATCATAAAAAATTTATTTGTGCATTCATTTTTTTGTTTGCTATTTACATAACTGTTTTGTGAATTATCTACTGAATTGTTAATATCATGGTTGTAATGCTTTTGGTCACCGTCCATTATAAGTTTAAGTTTTTTGATTGTCAATATATCATTGTGTTTCATTCTGTTTTATACCTGTCTTTTTTTTCAATTTTTGTTCGGTATTGTCAAAAGTAATACAAGCTTAAAGAAGATGACTTTTCTATTTCTGTTAATGTATATTTCTGTTGTTTAAGCATTTTTCTTTGTTTGAAGACCATTTATATGAACCAATTTTATCCTTGAATTAAAATTTTGTCGTAAAAAAAAAAAAAAAAAAAAAATTCCTAACCAATAGAAATGTCTGCTTCAAACAGTAGAAAACAGTTTTTCTTTCACACTCATATATTGAACTAAAACAAACTGAATATTTGAAAAACAGAGGTTGAATTGCAGTGGCCAATGAAGCATGTAATGTCAATTTTCTTATCTTTCGCTTCACAGTCGAGTGGGTACGCTTCACTTGGCATTGGTTAAAAACCTTTCACAGTTTAAAATATTTTTCAGATTTTTCTTGATGTTTTGTTCTTTAATAATTAATAGATACATTAGGATCTTTTTTTTTTAATGATATTTTAAAAAGTTGGTTCCTGATCTTTAAAGTAAAATCTTTGAGATAAAGTAAAACTGTAAACACCGATCAAGAAAATATTGTTGAGTTCAATCAAGAATAATTTTAGAAGCTTTCTAAGCTGTTAATTAATGATATGCTATTTATTTATAAGAAATAAAAACATACAAGTTGTACATTTCAGTTGAAAGTAACTTGAGAACAAGATAAGGTTGTACATTTCAGTTAAATAACTACTATTATTGTTCTCTTACATTAAATAGCATAAATCAAAAATTTATAATATATTTTATTAAAATGCAAAAATTTAAAACATTGATGTGAGGTGTAAACAATTTATTGCACGGTAACGACTGCATCGCGAATTATTTTTAAAACAATTTCTTTTCTGCTATATAGTGGCAGATTGTTGTAGTTATTTTTGTTATCTATTACAAAAAGATATTTTTTAGCAAACTTTGTTTTTACTTTATTTAATTTGACAATTTTTATTTTTGGTAATTATCTTATGAAATGTGACTTTTTTCAAATATCTTTAATTATACATTTGTATACAACCATATAGGTTTTAGTGTTAATTACGTCACTAAAAATACGTCACACTAAAAAAAAGGAGTTTCTCTGACTTGTCGCTTATGATTTTAACAGCACGATTTCGGTTCAACGATTCGTTTGCGAATAAGTTTTGATTTTATTTCACAGCAGTAACGAACGTGCGACCACAGAGTATACTCTTTTTGCTGTGTTAAATGTTAGATTGTGTCTTAAACTGTATACCAATCTTAAACGAGAAGATGCTCTTATATATGTTTGAATAAAATAACTATATAATGCTAACTTGGGATCAACTGAAACATCAATTTTTTATTGCATATAGTTTGATGACAACTTTTAAAACCAAGCTTGAAATCAGAAGGATTTTTATAGTTTTATCAGGTTTTTAGGGAGAAAAAAAATGTTTATGTCAAATGAGAATGTTTTGGAAATAATTATGGTGTTTGGAGTCAAGATCACTTCTATCTCTATAGACACTACACTTTAGACACAGTGTGCCTTTGTTGTCGTTATTATCACTTTCTCTCTTTTATTTTTCTTCATAAAAATTTTTTAAAGCTTCTTCTCTTATTTGTTTTGAATGTTTGTTTGTTTTGTGTGTATAACCTTCACCGTAGCAAAGCCAAATTACATGAACAAATCTCCCGAGAAGTTTCTGTACATCATTTGGACTGCATTAATTTCAGAAAAAAGCTTTTAAATGAGAAATTTTCTTGAGATAATGTAGAAATGGAAGCTAATAAAGTAGATGATAATAAAATCATCTTTATTTTTTATCCAAAATACTCAAAATTGATGATCTAGTTCAACTATTAAATTGCCATTTTGTCTTTAATTATAAACAAAAATGTCTACCCAGCACATTTACAAATTTTTTTACTGTTAGAGAAAGCTGTCGCTATCATCTACGATCTGCTAATAGCTATAATCTTCATGTACCAAATCATTCTTCTGTAAAATATGGTCTAAAATCCATAAAATACCAAAGTGTAAAATCATGGAACAGTCTACCTTCGCCATTAAAATCAATTGACTCAATTACTAATTTCAAAAACTGTCTCTTTAACTATTTTTTAGCAAGATATTATACCTGAAGCCTCTGAAATATGTTGTTATGCTTTTATTATTACTACTCTCTTGATACCTACTAGTTTTATTATTAACTTTTTGTTCTCATATTTTTATTGTTATTATTAGTATTGATATTAATAATATTCTTCTATCTTTATTAGTAAATTGTTATTTTTATTTATAACATAATAAGTATTATTATTGCTTTTTTTTAATTTTTTCTTAAGTTTATTTACTACTTATACTATGTAATTGTTTTTATCACTATTATTGCTATTATCTAATATTGATTGTATAATATCTTTATTATTATTGTTACTAATAATATTCCTCTTCATCGTCATCTTATTATTATTGTTAATATTATTTCTATAATTATTATCAATACTATTATTATTGTTATTATAATCACTTTTATTGTAATGTTGCAGGTTTTTACTTTAGATTAGTACTTGTACTATTTGTAAAAGTCCTTGAAATTTTACAACTTATTTTAGAATATATTGAATTGGTTGATTGATTGATGATGTTGATGTTGCGAGAAAAGCATTATCAACGCACTTGTTTTGAAGGCGTTAAATATATAACCTTGTTAGATAAGTAGTGGGGAATGAGAGTTTCTTAGCTGGTACTATTGATTACCATAAACGCTGTTTAAATAAGCTTGTGCCAATCACATTCTTGTATAGAGGGGAAATGTCGGTTTCTTTAAAAGTTTCTCTGAAATAGGGTGCGTGGTAGAACTTTTCATCAACCAATGGATAAATATCAAGAGTGATATTGCAGTAATAATTCAAAGAAGCGAGATAATTTAAATATTCTTGAGACCGCCTAAAATCAGGAGATCCATGTTTGAAACGAACTCTGGATCTTCACGTCACGGTAAGGAAGAAGACGTGAACTTCCTAATTAAATGCACTTCCGCGGCGCTCTGTAACAAGACCGTTAGGTCTTCTTGGGGCACCTAAATAATAAAGTTAAAAAAAAAAAGTCTTATTGTTAAATTTTAAATCAATTTAGTGTTTCCAAGATTGTCGTAGGACAACTTGTTCTACGATATAGAGCCCAAGAAACAACTGAGTACAAAAAGAGAACAGGTTGATCCAAAATTATTAATAAAAAAGAGGAAAAATTGTTCTGGACAGGTAACTTACCTCTTACGCTTCTTAAAAGATCTTTCCTGTCACACTCAAAAAGTTTGGATGTTTGCTTAAATAGACATATTTCCTTAAAACAGATCCAAAGCATTATCCATTACTTCATTATTTGAGTAGGATTTCCTCCCTCCTTACTTAAACTCATGACGATAATAAATGTATATTTTATATGGCATACCTAGAGAAAAAAAAAAATTACCGAACTATTATAGGAAAGCACTAATAAGCTTTATTTTTCAAAAATGCGTTTTAAATCTGTTTTTACATAAACAAATGCTTGTATTCATTTTTATATAAACAAATTTTATTTTTAGCAAAAATTTTTAATTTTATGGTTTAAAATTTACCAGAGAGATTTTTTATTGCCATTCTTTTATTAGTCGAGAAGCATTAAAAGGAACTTAATTTTGAATGTTTTATACTCTAATTAAACAAATCAAAAATTTTGCTCTTTTCTTAAGTTTAGCCAACTAATAATTTCTCTTGTAAGTAAATTTGGTGTTTGCTTAGAATTCCTTTTACCAACGAATCTGTCATTTTCACTAAAAAAAAAGGCTTTCAAATTTTGAAAAAAGTACTTACTATTTTTAAACACTTATTTACTTATAAGTAAAATGAAAACAAATAAACTTCAATAAACCTTTAATTCAAAACTAAGGAGCACCGGTTTCGGCAATCTTTTTTATAAACTGCTCTCTGGTTTAGTAAATCTTTATTATAAAAAAATTAGTAATTTTTTTTACACAAAAGCATAAAGTGTATTTAGTTTAAGTTCTACTAAAATAGATTCTCGTTGATACCATTATTGCCTCGCTGATCTTATTAACCTGCTTAAAGTAAAATTAAAGAACAATTTTGGTGTCGAACCATGGCCTACTTAAATTACACGGCCTGATTTGTTGCATTTTCCGTAAAAAATTGAGGCCAGTTTTTTTTACGGCTTAAGTATAAAATTTTAAATTTTGTTATGGTTAAGAGTCTTGTTTGCACTATAATTGTTTTATTTTTATTTTATTAAAATGGTTTAATATTAGTTAGATTTTCTTTGATTACTTAAATTATTTTGTGCTAGATTTTCTGTTAACTGATTGCCTGCTTCAATTTATTCCAATAAAAAAGAATACTGAAATAGATTTTCAGATAGCTATATCAACACATATTAAAATGCTACTAAAAATAATCTTACATATTGCTAAAACTACCCACAACTCTCCATTGGAAATAATTTTAAAGGTTTGTAATTTTGTATTTATTATAATTGCAATTATTACATAGAAAACATAAACTTTTCTTTAAATTATTTACACTGCAAAACAAGGTTTTGCATTGTAAATACTTTATTATGTTGCATGTCTCAAACATACAGCAATTAAAATGTAACAAATCAGGCTATTTATTTACAGTAGCCAAGAAATATCAGGCATACCAACTGTTTTGGAGTCAATAGCTGTTAATAAAATTCTAATTTTTTTTATTGCCAAATAAATGGTTATCATTCTTCTTTATTTAAATGGTTTCGCAGTGGTAAAAAATACAAATTGAAAAACTATAATATATTAGAAAAAACATTGACAAAAGTTTGGTATTAAGAGATTATTTGCTTCTTGTGGGTAAGGTGAACTTTCAAAAAGCAGCCCAAAGTGGTAAACATTTTGATGAAGATTGAGAAAACAAAGTTTATAAAGAATTGGTTTTTGTTTTTATGATTGTAGGGCTTTAAAAATTTATTCTTATGTTTTGAAATCATAACCTAAAGTTTACATAACAGGTATATGTTTGAAATAAGAAATTGATGAGTGTATTACCTCAATGCACCAATCTGAATTTAAGATAAGAACTACTGATAGTTACCGATAACCATTTTACAAATGTTAATGCATTTATATAGTTTCATAAAGCATATACTGGAGATGGAAAATTATTAATTTATCATTTAGTTTAGAAAGGGAGTGTTTAAAATATACTTGTTATTTGATAAACTCGGTTTTTGTTTTTTTCTTCTTGTTGAAGTTACTGCTGATTACATTGCAGGGAATATATTTCTTAAAGTTTATTAAAAGATCACTTATTAAACAAGCAAGAAAAAGCAAGAAAAATTAGTTATCAAATCACATATTTTGGTAACAACAAACAAGTTGTCAACATCGACAATATTTGACAAAACAACTGCAGCTACAACTGCTAATTTAGAGTTATTTTTCTGAAAGAAATAACGCAGCACAATTATCATTGTTTTATAAGTTATTTATCATACTTAATTCAAAGCAGAAACTTAATTCATCTAATCAAACTCAGCAATGCTGCTATGAAAGGTGATAACAAACCCACACTTTATAGAGAAATTGCAAATTGTACTGAAATTTGATCAAAATAAAATTTGATAAATAGCTGACATTAACCAAACAAACTTCTTGTGCTCTAATTACAACAATACACGCATTTGTATTTCTTATGCATGATTTCCTTGAAGAAGGCTTTACATTTGTTTATAGTTAATTTACAAAAAGATCCTTTGGAGCTAGGTTTTATTAAGTATAGTTAAATGCCCAATAGTAGAATTTTTGTGAGCCTTTTAGAAATGTGCATAAGCAAAAAGATTTTTTCAGATTTTCTCAGAAAATATTTACCAGAATTTTGATAATCCTTAAAAAATATTATGCAAGATATTGCTTAGTTGTCTACATAAATACTAATGTATTTTATCTTTTTATTTCAATTATAAAAAATACAAAACTACAAACCTTTTTTTTGCTCAATGGAGAGTTTTAGGCAATCTAAGCAAAATGAGAGATTATTTTTAGTAGCATGTTGGTATGGGTTGATATAGTTATCTGGGAGCCTATTTCAGTATTCTGTGTTGTTGGAATAAACTGAAGCAGGCAATCAGTTAACAGAAAATCTAGCAACAAATTAATGTAAGTACTCAAAGAAAATCTAACTATTATTAAACCATTTTAATAAAATAAAAATAAAACAATTATGGTGCAAACAAGACTCTTAACCATAACAAAAATTAGGTTTTTATACTTGAGCCGTAAAAAAACTGGCCTCTTAATTTTTTACGGAAAATGCAACAAATCAGGCCGTGTAATTTAAGTAGGCCATGGTCGAACATTGATCATATAACACAGCTTTTGTTGAATTTTTAGGCCATCCCTTATCTTCGTGACCGATTTTAAAAATTAAGTCACCATTTTCACCAAAAATTTTGACATATATTTACTATTCTTTTTTCTACGAGCTGAAGACAATAAAAAATAATTACATTTGTTAACATTTTTGGTAAAATATAAATAATTTTTTTTTTATTAATACTTAAATGTTTTTTAACATTTAAATTTAAACTTATACTATATATTTTTTAACTTTTTAATTCAAACTTATATTTATAAACTTTTAAACCTACATAACTAAAAAAAAAAAAAAAGAAATAAAACAAAGGAGAGAATTAAATCTTTATATCTGCCAAAGTTATTAGACTTATTTTTAATTGTCAATCCGATAATTTACTGAATGCAAAATCAATTTTAATTAGCATTATTACAAGAAAATAATTTACAATTAACTTTGGTAAGTGTAATCGAGAAATTCAAATCTTGGTAAGTGTAACCGAGATGTTCAAGTTATTCTTGGATCATCTTCCTAAACAAAAAGAAAAAAAAAATTCAAGATTTAAACTCATCTATTTTATTTAAAAAAGATAAAAAAAACAAACATTGACTACTAATACATCAAAATAAACTTAATATAAATCATTAAAAATTGTTAAAAATTCAACTACACACAATTATATAGAGTAAAAGCGGGTGGATTGAAATAGATGATAGAATGAAATAGAGTTTAGAATGATAAAATTATGACAATGCTTATTCTTTTGGTCCTACTTACAATTTGAACAAACATTCTGTAAATATTTTTTGATTATGATCTGGAGAATTTTCTGAATATGATAATATAAAATTTTAATACAAAATAATAATTTTTACTGTGAATGTTCAAATATTCGGTCGCGTAGTAATAATTTTTTTTTTTTGAAAAATGAGCATAAAACTCTGGAAAGTGTAATTTGCATTGAACTTAAAGCATATCCTTGTAAAACCTTTTACACCGGTCAAAAATCTTTTTTAAAAATTAAATTTGCTATTTCCAGAAAAAAGTGATGAGTTAACTATGGGGTTGAATGAAATACGCCAATTATTTGCTTGGTGATTTGGGTTTTCATTTATTAATTATGGCTACACTGATGAATGAATCTTTACAAATACTTCGTTCAACCTTTAAATCAATTATTATCAAATCTACCCTAATATAAAATGCCTTGAAAAAACTTGCATGCAAAAAGAAAAGAAAAAAAATAGACCGAAAACCAAGTCGCGCTTGCAGTGGCAAAAATAAAAAATGGTGAACTTTCACTTAACAAAGCTGCTCAATCATTCAGCCAGTAGCAACTCTTAATAAGCATGTCAACGGCATAAAACAATTGGCAGTGGTTCAAACACAATATTGCAGCAAAATTTCGAATCAATTCTGATACACTCATCTAAATTATCCAATAGGGGCTTTGGTAGACAATAATGTCATTACTTTTGTTAGCAACTATTTGCAACACCAATGTCAGTCTAATCTGTTTTCCAATGGTACACCAGTTAAGCATAGAAGCAGTTGGCAATATTTTATCACTCAGAAGTGCTTCTTACATGCAAGAAATAGTAGCGAAGTATTTCAACACACTGCAAAGAGAACTAAATGAAGCAGGTATTAACAAAAACATTTCATGGTATGTGTGGAAGTTTGATGAAATTTTCGTCTCTGGTGATTAAGGAAAGCAACAAATAGTTTGCAGACAATGTTTAACGACCATTGAAATTGGTAACAGGGTTTCCACTATTAAAACTGAAGCTAAAAGTAAGAATTTTAAGGAGATTTAAGGAGATATTTTCCTAATATTTAAGGAGATTTGATCGCAAACGACAATTTTTTGAAAGAAAAAGTAAGGAGAATTAAGGAGAAAACAATTACATTAAAAACAGAGTTTTATTTTTTAAATGAATTTTAAATAATATATATATATATATATATATATATATATATATATATATATATATATATATATATATATATATATATATATATATATATATATATATATATATATTACTATATATATATATTATTATATATATATATTATTATATATATATCAAAGAACTATATATTTTCTTTTTTATTAATAAATATTACACAAGTCAACAATTTATATTTTCTAAAATCTCGATGAAAATACGTTTCTTTTGAGACACAGGTTGAAATACTTTTGAATAATATTTTTTTTTGACAATATTAAAGATTTTACCCTAATTACTAAAGATTTAAACCTAAATACCTTTCCAACTTGATGCGATGGTGAAAAATGAGTTGCATATTTGAAATTAAAATGAGAAATGCTATACAAAAAACAAACTGTTTGCTCGGCACCAGAAAAAATTTGTTTTGTTGTTGACCTGTGTAAATCCGTTCATTTTAATAAAATTTCTTAGATGATTAAAAAAAAAAATAAGGAGAAATTAAGGAGAGCAGTCAAGTTTTAACTTTTTTTAAGGTTATTTAAGGACTTTTAAGGATGGTTTTTTTTTAATAATGTTTAAGGATTTTAAGGAGGAGTGGAAACCCTGGAAATGCATGCACAGTTGCACAGTTGGAAATGCATCAATGCTAATTATCTTACACCATACATTATTTTCAAATCAAAAAAACATCTGTACAAAAATTGGTGCTTATGTGGTCCAGACGATGGCGTATACGCAAAATCTTTATCCAGATGGATAGAAGATAAGCAATTCATGCAGTGGATCACTGGCGTGTACGCTCTCACTATTAAAAAAAGTCCAGGTAAGTAAGTCAATTTGTTGATAATTAGTTTAATTAATTATTTAATTAAATAAATCCAACTTTGGTTATCCAACTTTTTTTTTCTAATTAAATAAAGTTTCTTCAAAAAAAATTTTTTAAAAATTATTTGATTTTTATATATTTAAATACACTTTCAGAATTCTCTACAACTTAAAAAAAAAAAGAAATAAAAATATTTTTCCTTTACGAAAAATAAATTAAATCTCTTAACTATTTTATTTGATTGACTTTTACTAAAATGTTTAATAAAGTTATATTATTATAATACATCTATATTCTATTATAAGTTCATCTAACTTTGAAAAATATTTATATATTTAATATTTTTCAAAAGTTAGATAAATTTTTGCTGTCTTATTAGAATTACTTCAATTTTATTCTACATAATATTTTCTAAAGTTAATTTTATTTATTTGTCATGAAATATATATATATATATATATATATATATATATATATATATATATATATATATATATATATATATATATATATATATATATATATATATATATATTAATTTCTACCATAACTAGTCAAAATGGTTTCAAAATACTATAGACAATTTGAGAGAATTGATGATAATATGTGTATAACTGTTTATTTAATAAGGGGTCATTTGCAAATTATGTCATGCTTTACTAATAATTATCTATAGTGGACTAAACATGATCCAGCATTCATCATTGTTTGCAGTAAACTATGTAATACAGGTTTACATCTACCTCAACTTAATAAATGAAGAAGGGGTGTGAAGCTGATCAACAGACTTTTTTTCTCTCTTGCTATTCAGAATTTATGGCCTATTTTTTTTTCTAAATAGTAACTAGACTTTAAAGTTCTCGGAATTAAGAAATATGAGGTCGACAAAAAAATTGCTAAACTAAAATCGTTTTAGGTCAGTATCAGGTTGGCATCAATTTTTAAACAGGGTTCAACAAATAGACAAACGTGCAAATGTTTAGTGTAAAATTTAGAGAATTTTTTTTTTTTTTTCCAGAATTCAACAACGTTTGCTTAAAATTTTTTGAAAGTTTTACCTATCTTATTTTAATTATCTTAACTTAAAATTAATAAAACATTTATTTTTAAATTTTTAATTAATTAATTCTTTTTACAATTTAAATTTATATATTATAAATATTTAAATTTATATATATACAAATATATTTAAGTATGTATATATATATATATATATTTAAATATGTATATATATATATACATATATATATATATATATATATATATATATATATATATATATATATATATATATGTATATATATATATATATATATTGTTGTTGTTGTATGACTTATTAATTAAAAATACAAAACTCTTGATCGTTGTAGAGTGCTCAATATTTAAGAAATATATATTTTTTAAAAAAAAGAGCATTTTATACTTAAATTTAGAAAAAACTACTTTTAATAGAACTTAAAATTTCATGCCTAAGGGCAATCATCAGCCACGAAGTACAAAATTAAAAATATAAAAAAACCATTTAAAAATTACAAACTACGGTAGAATGAGTTCTGAGGTTATAGTACAAGAAAACATAATGAAAAACTAATCTCCGCTATCAAATAATGAAAGGAGAAATTTATTTTTGTGTCTACATTTAGAAACTTATTTGCCTCTTTTATTTAGCAGGTTGTCTCCTTTGTAAAATAATATTTCAAACTTCTCATTTAAACATTCTAATTAAACGCTGTAAATCATACAATCCTGCGTCAAAAATTTGTAAGCTTTGTTTAAATGAGAAATTAGTTTTTCATTACATTTTCTTGTACTATAACATCAGAACTCATTCTATTGTTTAGTAGAATGTAATTTTTAATTGGTCTTTTATATTTTTGATTTTGTACTTCATGGTTGATGATTGCCGATAGACAATCATTGTTTTTTCTAAAAATAATTTTAAATTAACAAACTTTTTTTTAAATTAGCAAACTTTTTTTCTCGGTTATGACATAAAGGCAAAAGATGAACTTTTACTTGGATTAACATAAAATATTAACACTTTTTACCAAATCTGAAAAAAACTTCCCCATCTGCGCAAATGAAATTTTTTCAAAAAAACGCTAACATAGAAAAAAACGCTACTTTGCTGTATGCAAGTAAAACAAATTTTAAGTCTTCAAAGTAAAAATAAATTGAGTTTGAACAAGATTTCAAAATGATAGTGTTATTCCTTTAATGCTATAAGAGTCGGCTAGTACCGAAAGGGGAAAGGGGATGTGAGGGTTTTCACCCCTACCTTCCTCCCCCCGCCCACCCCACCCCCAGATTTACAATTTTCTGTCAGTTAATTGGTAGATTTCGGACTTGAAACTTGTAGGTTAAAACTAAAATTTTACTCTCAAAAAAAAAAAGCCCTTCGTTAGTAAAAATAGTTTTTTTAAGTTGGACACCTCCCCCCACATCTTTTTTTTCTGTACGGCTCTGTCAAGTAGGTCCATTAAATAATAATTACAATAATACAAAAAAACAATAATACTAAATGCAACGGTTTTATTACACAACAATGTAATCAATTTTTATAATTAAGTAGATCATTATTAGAAAAAAGAAATCGGTTGGTCAGTTTGGCAGCAGTCTTACACAGAGTAAGAAGGTCTTGCATCACGTGAATAGCTCTCTCCGCACAACGGTTGCTTCTTTTTATGCCAGTTATGGCAGAATCTTCCTTCTTCCAATGTTTATTGAAAAAATTTAACGCTTTTGGATACGGCTGTAATCTTGGTCTCAAGGATTCTATTCTGATTTCCAGTCATGTTGTCCTGAGAACCATATCTCACTCCAAGGCGTTGCAATAAAGCTGCATAAATCTGTGAATTAATCACTGCGCATCAATGGGAGCAATACGAAGGCTAGGAGTGCAAAAATTGCAAGGGAATCAAGCATTACTCATTGTTGGTAGTTTTTGAAAATGAACATTGGGGAATTCACGATTCTTCTCATAAAATATGAAGGCTTGTGACAAGTGGTACAAAAATTTCATGTCATCGCGCCACCCCAAATTTTTGTCTGGTAATTCTGTTCTATCCATTTGAGAAAATAATTTTTTTTTCAAATCTTCATACTTTGTGGTGATTTCAGAAATAAACGGGTATGAAATATTTGGAGAATAAGTTGGACTCATAAGTACTGCATCCATCGCAAGCCGTAAAACTGTCTAAAATGCGATGCTGACATCCAATGTACTAAGGACTGGTTCCGTACTGTTGCATGCAATGTTTCTGGATTTTCACAACAACACCATTTTTGGAGCCCGTATTTATGTTTGTTGTGTCACATATAACAATTTTAATGGCCTACAATACTTCATACATTGTTAAAACAGCCATTATACCACCATATATTGTATCAGCCTTTCCATTTTTTAGTGAGAGAAAAGCAAGTCAAATTTCATGCATTGAATTCTTTAAGACAACAATTTTCTTTTCTCTTTCCAGATTTTTACCATTGAAATGCAAACACCACTCATAATTACGAAGGCAAAATTTGAAATGTTTGGATAAAAATTCTGCCTCTTTATATAAAGCTTTGTACACACCAGATTGAGAAGGCGTTGGAACTGGGTAACTGTCTTTTTTTAGAATATCCATAGCTTTTGATGCTTTTTTCGTTGATACGTTTGTTTTTGTTACCAAATTGACTGCACTTTTAGTAGAATGGCGCTTACATTTACTCGTCCTGCATTCAACAATATTATAATCCCAGTCTTCTTCACTAGATGACTTGTTTGATGATTCAGTGGAATCTGAGAACACATCACATGATGTTGATGGTTTAAAGGACAAACCAAGTAATAAAGCATGTCATTTCAATGGATGAATTGACTCTTTTGGGACTTGTTTTGTTGTTGAATAGCCAACATCTCCATTAGAAAAAATCTGCAAATTATAAAAATTTCTGTCCTCAGTACTCAGCCAAACTCCTTGTGCGTTTGTTAGATCAAGTAATGGTGAGAAAAAAGATTTTATGTTGCCATCTGGTCTTTTCTGATAAGCAAAATATTTATCAATAACAGAATTCACTTTTCTTAATACAGAATGCTCACTTTGACACAATAAATTAAATTTTGCCCAAAGTGCTTGTAATTCCTTTGCTACAACTTTTGCTTTTGGACTTTATTTCAGTAGCAAGAAATAAATATCTACCGAGTATTGCAATTTCCTTTGGTATTTTACTACGCTGGCTCAAATTTTCCTCAACTATTTGAATTTTTTTGACTGATTTTTCAAAATGTATTAAATTTTAGACCACAAAGATAAGTTTTTATCAACAGATTTTGAAGCTTTACGATATGCCATATCTAAAATAATAAATTTAATTATAAAAGAAATGATGAATATTGTTATTATAAATAAAATGAAGAATAGTCAACACTTTTTTTTCAATAACAAATACTTTGAACCGTTAATATCAGTAATTTAGGAAAATAACTAGGTAGCTGGTTTGGCTGTTAATGCCTTTTGTTAGTTGAACCTTGTTTACACAAGTCAATTTGTTTTATTTGCATACAACAAAGTAGCATTTTTTCTGTTAGCATTTTTTCGAAAAAATTTCATTTGAACAGGTGGGGGAGTTTTTTTCAGATTTGGTAAAAAGTGTTAATATTTTATGTTCACCCAATTAAAAGTTCATCTTTTGCTGCTATGCCATAACCGTGAAAAAAAATTTGCATTTTACTTATACCCATAATATATATATATATATATATATATATATATATATATATATATATATATATATATATATATATATATATATATATATATATATACATATATATATATTTATATATATATATATACATTTATATATATATATATATATATACATTTATATATATATATATATATATATATATATATATATATATATATATATATATATATATATATATATATATATATATATATATATATATATATATATATACATTTATATATATATATATATATACATTTATATATATATATATATATATATATATATATATACACATTTATATATATATATATATATATATATATATATATATATATATTTGTGTGTTTATATATATATATATATATATATATATATATATATATATATATATATATATATATATATATATATATATATATATTACATACATAAATAGACTACCTTTCCATGCTTAGCCAACTTTTGTAACAAATTATTTTGGTGCACTTATGCAAGTTCGCACTTATGCTAGTTTGCACTAGCATAAGTGCGAACTTGCATAAAAAGAAAATAGAAAATTTAAAAGAAAAAGTCAAGGCCCAAAAACAACCATTTGCCAAAAGGCCCGAAAAAAAAATCTGCCAAAATATTAGCAGTTGCTTGGAAACAGAACAAAAACTCACAACAAATGCTTGTGCAATAGAGAAACAGAAAAATGAAAGAAACGTAATGATAAGATAATATTTAAATTGCTATATATTATTGCTTAACTTAATACTGCCATTACCCATTTGTGTGCGCTTACACGGAGTTCTATAAACATGTTTGGCTTTTCAACATTTCTTTTCATAAATTTTTGACCATGCGATGAGATACTCTTAAATTTTAATAATCTGTTTAATCAGTAATAAGATCAAAAACTTTGCTTTGTAAGCTTAATTAGCAATAAGATCAACAATTTTTTAATTTAATGACTTCTGTAGGATAAAAAAATTTCATAAGGATAAACCTTATGTGATTTTTAAATTAGTAAAGTAACTTTTTAAGTCAGGTAATTTATTTAATTCATGCATTATAATAATAACACAATTCAAGTCCTTTGACAATTGTATTTAAAGTATATTATTCTGTAATTTTTATTTTTTTAAATTAGAAGACGATAATGAATCTAGAAGACGTTACTCTTTTCAAAGGTCAAGAAGTCAAGCTCTTGATAATGTTGGTGTTTATCTTTAAAACCCTTGCATCTCACACAGTCAACTCTACATGTTAAATGTTAAAGTACAAGATCGTTTAATGCCTTATTTTAAAGAAGTTAAAAAAAAATCTGTTTGCATTTATAATGCAAAAAACCAGGTTGTTTGATCATTTGTTTTTTAAAGTTGTTAAACATTTATTATGAGGTATGTCATTAAACAAACGTTACAAAAGTATTTGTAAAGTTTCTATGTTTGTGATGTGTTATAATGTTATTTGTTTGGTTTGTAAGTGGTTATTATGTAGTTTGCATGGTTTCAAGTTGTTGTGACTTAGCTTAGTTTACATCAAGAGTGTTGACCTTGCTACCCAAGTGGTGTACTTTGCTATAATGCGACTTGGCTTTGTTGAGAGCAAGAATGTTGCTCGTGCCAGTAAGGTGATGTACTGTCATCATGAAACACATAAATGAAATCTGTTTGTAGTTAATTTAATCATAAAATGTGTTTAAAAAATATTGTTGAAAGAATGTGTTTAAAAGAAATGTTAAAAAGATATATAGTTTTTTATTACCTATAAATACATTTATACATTTATATATATATATATATTTGTGTGTTTATATATATATATATATATATATATATATATATATATATATATATATATATATATATATATATATTACATACATAAATAGACTACCTTTCCATGCTTAGCCAACTTTTGTAACCAGGAAGGTTTATGGGGTGGATGATATGTCCTCTGAAAAAAAGTAATTGAACTAAGAAGAGTGATAAAACAATAAAATTAACAAAAATTGATGTTCACAAAGTAAAACCACAATTTTACTGCAATAAAAATGCAAAACATATAGGAATAGGTAATGGGATATATCTCATATGCAGTGCTGTAGCCAGATTTAATCCCATATGGTGTGGGCGCTCAAATTAATGCATCTAAACTGAAAATTACATAAGTTATAAATTCAAATGTTAATAAATAAAAGCAAATAAACATGTATAAAAAATTGTCATTTTTGTTTGCATTGACATTACATTTTATAACTATAATTATAGTGGTGAACTTTATAAAGTTGCTTACTTTTATTTTATATATAAGTATGGAATTATATTTATGTGAATTTAAAAAATGATTTTTATATCTTTAAAAGTTAAATTGTGTTGTTAGCATATTTAAAAGTGGGAGGCTGAATAGATGGGAATTTCAGAAGTGCTAACTGGCATAAGTGCAAACTGGCATAAAAGCAAAGTAGTTGCAAAAACTGGCACAAGTGCAAACTGATACAAGTGCAAATTGGCATAAGTGCTCCAATAGAATTTGCAAACATTGGCATAATCACAAACTGGCTAAGTGTGAAGCAGTTGCAAAAACTGATATAAGTGCGAACTGGCATAAATGCAAATTGACATAAATGCGCTGAAATAATTTGCAAACATTGATATTAGTGCAAACTGGCATAAGTGCGAAGCAGTTGCAAAAACTGGCATAAGTGCGTTAAATAAATTGCAAATATTGCCATTAGTACAAATTGGCATTTTGCATTTATTCCAATGTTTACAAATTATTTTGGTGCACTTATGCAAGTTCGCACTTATGCTAGTTTGCACTTATGCCAGTTCGCACTTATGAAATTTGCACTTATTAGGTCATCCCTTTTAAAGTTCCCTATTGTATTTAAATTTAATTTTAAATTGTGTTTAAATCTTTTAAACAATATAATAATTTTAAACAAATATAACAAAAATTATTAAACAAAACTAAATTTAAAAAAGATTACATCTCTTAAAATTATTTTATACATAACAATAATTTTTTGTTATGTATAATTTTTGTTATGTATAATTTAGCTTTTTTTTTCGTTTTTTTTAAATATTTAATGAACTATTTTTAATAAAGATTGTATATAATTTATAGCAATTATTAACAATTGTATTTTATCATTTAACAATAAGATATTTGTAAATATAATTTGTGTTTAATCAACTGGTATTAAGGGTGTTAGCTCTCTGTGTTAGTCAAGACTACAAAGATTTGTTTTTTTGTAAAAAAAAAACTCAACTGAGATGCAGTGATTGATGAAAGCAAATTTGAGCAAATACTATCAGTGGCTGGTTAAAGGTTAAAAAAAGCATCCAAATATGGTCAGCTTTCACATTTTATCATTTCAAAAATGCAAAGTGAAATAAACTGACAGGTATAAAAAACATAATTTATGGCCAAAAAATTAAAATAGAAAATTTAAAAGAAAAAGTCAAGGCCCAAAAACAACCATTTGCCAAAAGGCCCGAAAAAAAAATCTGCCAAAATATTAGCAGTTGCTTGGAAACAGAACAAAAACTCACAACAAATGCTTGTGCAATAGAGAAACAGAAAAATGAAAGAAACGTAATGATAAGATAATATTTAAATTGCTATATATTATTGCTTAACTTAATACTGCCATTACCCATTTGTGTGCGCTTACACGGAGTTCTATAAACATGTTTGGCTTTTCAACATTTCTTTTCATAAATTTTTGACCATGCGATGAGATACTCTTAAATTTTAATAATCTGTTTAATCAGTAATAAGATCAAAAACTTTGCTTTGTAAGCTTAATTAGCAATAAGATCAACAATTTTTTAATTTAATGACTTCTGTAGGATAAAAAAATTTCATAAGGATAAACCTTATGTGATTTTTAAATTAGTAAAGTAACTTTTTAAGTCAGGTAATTTATTTAATTCATGCATTATAATAATAACACAATTCAAGTCCTTTGACAATTGTATTTAAAGTATATTATTCTGTAATTTTTATTTTTTTAAATTAGAAGACGATAATGAATCTAGAAGACGTTACTCTTTTCAAAGGTCAAGAAGTCAAGCTCTTGATAATGTTGGTGTTTATCTTTAAAACCCTTGCATCTCACACAGTCAACTCTACATGTTAAATGTTAAAGTACAAGATCGTTTAATGCCTTATTTTAAAGAAGTTAAAAAAAAATCTGTTTGCATTTATAATGCAAAAAACCAGGTTGTTTGATCATTTGTTTTTTAAAGTTGTTAAACATTTATTATGAGGTATGTCATTAAACAAACGTTACAAAAGTATTTGTAAAGTTTCTATGTTTGTGATGTGTTATAATGTTATTTGTTTGGTTTGTAAGTGGTTATTATGTAGTTTGCATGGTTTCAAGTTGTTGTGACTTAGCTTAGTTTACATCAAGAGTGTTGACCTTGCTACCCAAGTGGTGTACTTTGCTATAATGCGACTTGGCTTTGTTGAGAGCAAGAATGTTGCTCGTGCCAGTAAGGTGATGTACTGTCATCATGAAACACATAAATGAAATCTGTTTGTAGTTAATTTAATCATAAAATGTGTTTAAAAAATATTGTTGAAAGAATGTGTTTAAAAGAAATGTTAAAAAGATATATAGTTTTTTATTACCTATAATTTTTTTAATATTTATAATATTAAGTAAAATTTGTTGAAAAGACATATACTCTGTTGCTTTTTTGTTAACAATTTGCATTTTATTAATTAAAAAAAATTTGTTTAAAAGATATACTGTGTTCTTTTTTGTTAACAAATACTTTTGATGATAAATAAATACATACATACATAAATGGTAGGTGTGGAAAATATACCCGGGATTGGATTTGTTACCGAGGCTACATAAGCGTTTATACGTCTTAAAGTAAACTACTATTTTTTTAATTCAAGCTATATTTTGTATATTTATGCATGTATATTAACATCTTCATCATCATCATCATCATCATCATCATCATCATCATCATCATCATCATCATCATCATCATCATCATCATCATCATCATCATCATCATCATCATCATCATCATCATCATCATCATCATCAGCAGCAGCAGCAGGCGTAAGCCTTCCTCTTTTATGCTGTTTCTCTAATCATGGTCAATGCTCAAACAAGCTATCATCTCTATTACAATAAATCAAAACTCATTCTTTCTTGGCTTCTTATTCAACAAGCTATTATTTGTTAAATACTGGCATAAATATATGGAAGAATTTAATAAATAGTAAATAAAAGTATAAAATTATAATGTATAAAGAATTATAAATTTTTTTCTAGCCCTGGCTATCAACCCCTGCTCAATCTTATAATTTTGTCTAGGCCAGATTTCCAAAAAGTCTCATTTTTTTAGCCGAGGCCCCTGTCACTTACTATACCATGTAGTAGATATTCGATTTCAGAGTGTTTTAGATAAAACTCATTTGTGCCAGTTAGTAACTTTTCCAATCTAGTGTAACTCATACACAGACCATCCAAAAATCACACTAGACTTTATCATAACAAACACACCAGATTGTGTGCTAAACAAAAGAGTTTCACTTAGAAACACACCAATAGGGTAAGCACACTCTATTAACTGAAACAATCACATTGACAGGATTTGTGCAAAACCAGACAACACTAATAATATCATATCTTATATGGAGTAAAGCTAAATATGAAGCACACTTTGCCCACATCCTAGATTGACTGATCAAGATATTTTAATGGGCTTTCAGATTCAGAAAAATACATTTTGTTTGTTGATAAATACATTGAAACAATAAGGCTATATCAGTGATAAACCTAAAGTTTTTTTGGGAATAATTTTTTTTTTCAGCAACAGGAGGAGGGGGAGAATGTTTTGTGTTGATTACCCCCCTCCCCCCATAGAATTAAAACCGGTGCTACTAAAATGATTTTTAAATATATAAAATTATTTTTTTATTATCCAATTTTTTTATTGTGTTCACCTTTTTTATTTCTTTATTATCTGAAGTTAATTAATTGATTTAAAATAGTATCTCGTTGTAAAAGGCACTGATTTAAATATATTATATTTAGCAAAGGACTTTTGTTACACTAAGAAAAATCAATTTATTTAATATTTTAAACTTTTAAGTTGCAAATACTAGACTTTTTGTAAATATTTATTGAAATTTGTTTAAAGTATTTTAAACATATATTTTAAAAGTAAATTTTAGTAATTTTAATTTTAGTAGCTATTTTTTGTATAATAAATGTGTATTAAATGTTTAAAATACTTTAAACAATTTTTAATCTATAATATCAAATTGCGTAGTATTTTCAAAATTAAAATTTTTTTAAATGCTTATGCCTTGTTTGTCTATTATTGGTCTTAATGTCAGTTATTAATTATTATTGTATACATTATGATATATTATATATACATAAAATATTGAAATAGGAAACTAAAGTGATTAGTAAGCATATTGACTATTTATTTAATTTTAATATCAATTTAAATATAAGCAATTCTGTTCATTTAACCTTAACTTAGGGTTAATAATTTTCACTTCAAGGCGCTTTTTAAGTAAAAAAAAGATAAGATAAAATACTGTAACTATATATATTTTTAAATATATAATTATACATTTTTTTAATCATTAATGATTAAAAAAATTTATAATTAATATATTTGTATACAAAAAATAAATTACATTTACAAAGGATTTTTTTTAAATTAAAGATATTGAAATTTAAAAATAACTAAAAGTTATTGTAAAACTAGTATATATAGAAACAAAACTTTTTGAAAAAGTTTTGTTATTTGTTTTCGTATTTTAGAGTTTTGAAAAATTATGCTGATGCTTTTGCAATAACTTTAACACTTATCTTCAATTCAAAAGAAGTTTCAGAATGTGAAAGAAATCGGAGGTTACTCCAATATTCAAAATGGGATGTAAAATGAATTCTAGTAATTATAGACTAGTCTTGAAAACTTCTATACCAATTAAAATACTTAGGAGTAATACACAAATTAATCTAATATTTGCTAATCAATCATGAAATCTTTGGTCACTTGGTAATCAATGATTTAATTACTAAAGTTTATCATGGTTTTGTGAAAGGAAAAGTCAATTAGTTGGAACCCAGCATATTTTTACAGAAACCACTAACCAATCTGTCAACAAGTTACCTCAAGAATCTGACTTGCATTTTTAACATACACAAATGACCTACCAGACAACATTTTCAACAAAACTTTATGCAGACAATAGTAAAAAAATAGTTATAAAAATATACGCAATCTTTACAAAGTTATTGAATCAGGATGTTAGCCAGGAAAGAATTAATACTGCATTTTTGCGAAATCGGGAGTTTAGGTACAGCCCAAAAAAAAAAAAAAAAGGTCATTGCATTCTGACATTTAAAAAAGAAGATAAATTTGACATTTTTTTTTAGATACAAATTGGGTTATATTTATAGCAGGAATATTTTTCCTTATTATAAATGTTTAATTATAATTATTATTATTATAAATGATTAATTATAATTATTAAACTTGTTTCATTTTGATTAATCTTAAGTTTTCATTTTTAAATTCTTTTCTTTGTTTGATATAGTAGAGAGAAAACAAGAACAAAAGATAATTATTTGCAATTAAAGTTTTAATGAATTATTAAATTTATTCATTGAAACTTTGATCTATTTTAATTGTGCACATTGCTTTTAAATACAGTTCAAAAGGTTTAAACGATTAGTTATATATATATTGTCTTCATTTATTTTTATTTTCATTTTTAAATTATAAATGTAAAGAAAAAAAAGGCTAAATAGTATTTAATTTAAAAAATATATATATATTTTTGACGATTTCTATAATTTTCTTGTAACTTTTCAAATAGCTAAAACAACTTTTTAATTGACAATTGTCAATATAAAAATAAAAAAAATAAAAATGACATCTGGCAACCCTAATTATATGGAAAGTTTTTGAATATTTAAATTTTTAAATACTTTAGTATTTTAAAACTAAAAATTTTAAAATACTCAAAAAAAATTTTAATCTTTTTTACATAGGTATTCGTATTATTGTTCATCATATTTTATATTATAATTTTTATATTTAGATAAATTTAAAAGTTAAAAATTAATTTAAATCGATTGCTATTAATTGAAAGTTAAATGAAAATTATATGAAAGTTTTTGAAATCTTAATAACTTTTAATTTAAAAACTTATGGCTTTCCGATTTCTGTCAAATATGTTTGTTAAAAGAACTTTTGTTGCAATACGCTACTTTAATTTAAATAAGTAACAAAGGCATTTAAGTGGCAGAGTGAGATTCTTTCACTGCATGAGGGCAGCAACTAAATTTAATTGGCATATTTAAATATCTAGTATATTACAATTAATAATATATTAATATTAACTAATTATCTTCTTTTATGTTTTATGCAAATATAATATAAATAATACGTTTTTGTTGTTGTTATTTTCAGTTTACTTTACCAGCTAATTTATTTTACCGAAAGTATTAATAAATCTTTTATTATAAAAACTAGAAACTGGTGCATGTTTTTTAATTTTGATAAATGTAAGGTTATGAATGTTGGTTGTAAAAAAAATAAAGCAACACATATAGTTACCAGTCATGTATGCAGGATTGGGGTCAAATACATTTGATCAAATACAAATACGTTAATTTCAGATTACTAAATATATGTAATCCAAATACAATTACAAATTTAATGTATGTTAAGTTTAAAAAAAAATACAATGACTTTTTTTTATGCAATATTGATAAAATGGTACACAAAATAGAAGGAAAACTCAGTCTCAGAAAAATATCCCTTAAAAACAAATTTTTAACTTATTTTATTGTTAAAAATGAAAAAAACAAAGAAAAATCTTTTAGTTTTTCCCAAAAATAACACTGGTCAACTTTGTTTGTTTTTTTTTGGGGGGGAAAACACAGCACCATATACTTTTCAATCAAATACAAATAAAAATATTTAAGAAATTTTTTAATCAAATACAGTACAAATACAAATATGCCAATTTAGCTTATAACTACCAAATACAAATACATATTTGATCCCAACCTGGCACATATCCAGTCCGATTTTGAAACCAATATATAACCGATATAAAAAAAGTCAATTATATAAATTAATGCAAACCTGTAATTGAAAGTCTAGCCAAATAATAGGTATTGAAATAACAAAAGTACAAGCCAAGGCAATGGCAGAATTTCGTTTCCAGTTTCTTGGTTGACACCACCACCCACCAGCCGGTGACCATACATATTTTGGATAGGGATATACCTTGCCTCCACCCTTAATAATGATAGGTAAGTAAAAACAATAAAATTTTCCAAAAGCAATGCATTAAAAAGAATTTATTTTTCTTATATTTTACAGAAACACTAATTTTAATATAACTCATAATATTTAACTTTTAAAAGAAAAACAATAAAAAAAGGTTATCAATATTAAATCATTATTTATATTATACATCTTCAGCACTTGCGTAAGTTTCTCATTTTCAAACTTTCAACATCAACTGTGTTTTCTTTGCTCATCAGTTATATCAAAAGTAAGTATTTTATTAAATTATTTTAATTTATGAGTCTAATATGAAAAAATTATTAGTCTAAAAATTTCTTAAGTCCTACATTCTCAGAGAGGCTGATTCCATCAACAGCTGAAAAATAGTACTAACAGTACCATGTTGCGCATGGATGGTGTCCCTGTTTTTGCGCATGGATGGTGTCCCATTGCCAAGGCCACATTGGAGCCCTTTGTTATGGCTTAGGGTTTATTAATAGAAATGAGGCAATTGCTTGGGCTGTAAGACAGTGTACTGAGTACTATCTATGTTTGGAGTCAAGTTCTTTAACAAATTTAAAAATGAATAAAGTAACAAAAACTATAAAACACAAAAAACCACTGTCAGTTCGTTAAACCTATCATTCACTAATATTCGAGGTCTTGGATGTAACTTTTCTTCTGTTGAGTCTTATCTCTTGCAAAGTTCACCAGACCTACTTGCTCTTTGTGAGAATAATTTGAGTTCAGCTGTCTCATCTTGTGATCTTAGTGTTGATCTAATTATCTTCCTTTAATTCGTAAAGACTCCAATAGTCACATGCTTGGCCTGGGCATTTACATTCGTAAGAATTCACCCATTTGTCGGGAAACTAGGTTTGAATCCACAGACTACTCTTTTATGTGTTTTCGTTTAGCACCACTTCACTCTATCACCTTTCTCTTTGTTCTATATCGCTCTCCCTCATCTCACTCTTATTGATGTTATTTCTGATCATATTGATCAAGCCTTCTCTCTTTATTAATCAGCCAATATTGTTGTTGTCGGTGACTTCAATGTTCATCACACTGAATGGCTTGGCTCTAGTGTCGATGACTCTGCAGGCATTAGGGCCCACAACTTTTGCCTTTTTCAATCCCTAACTCAAATAGTCAACTTTCCAACTTGCTTTCCAGATAACCCGAATCATTTACCTTCTCTACTCAACTTAAGTCTTGTTTCTGATCCTAGTCAGTGCTCAGTTTCTCCACACTCACCCTTAGGTGCCTCCGATCATGGTTTGGTCTCTCTAAAACTCTTATCTCATTCTTCTTTATCATCAGAATCCCCCTATCCCCGTACATCTTACAACTACCTTAAAGCTGACTGGAACTCTTTCCGTGACTTTCTTCGTGATGGCCCCTGGGAAAAACCTTTCGTTTTCCTATTGACAAATGTGCTTCTTACATAACTTTGTGAATTCAAGCTGGCATGAAATCCTTTATTCCCTCTTGACAATTCCAGGTCAAGCCTCACTCTTCTCCATGGTTTTCCTTGGATTATCTGCTGCAATTGCCAATCGAAACCATTACTTCCATATCTATCAGCAAAACAATTCTCTAAAAAACAGACATCTATTTATTACTGCTAGGAACCATTGTAAAAAGGTTTTGTCTAACGCCAAAGCCCGCTATTCTCAGATCATGAAATCTCGTATTTTATCACAAAAATTAGGCTCTCGTGACTTCTGGAGAATCTTTAATAGTATTAATAATAAGGGCAAGTCTGTAATTCCACCTCTTTTGTATGGTTCAGACTTTGTCACCTCACCTAAAGACAAAGCTGAATTGTTTGCTAAGAACTTTTCATCAATACTATCTCTTGACTCCACTAGTTGCACTCTACCTGCTATAGCCGTCAAACAGGTTGATCCATTGCTCGACATCCATATCACTTCAGCTTCTGTATCTAAAGTGATTTCCTGCTTAGACTCTTCTGCAGCTTGCGGCCCGGACAACATACCTGTTATAGTCTTGCAGAAGTGTTCTTCGGAGCTGTCGTCTATCCTTTCAAAACTATTTAACAAGTGCTTATCAGAGTCTTGTTTTCCAGCCTGCTGGAAAGCAGCATCTGTTATCGCTATTTTTAAAAATTCTGGAGAGTGATCCGATTCATCTAACTACCGTCCTACTAGACTTCTTCCTATCATAAGCAAGGTTTTTGAATCTTTAACTAACAAACACTTAATCTCTCATCTTGAATCTCATAACCTACTTTCTGATCATCCATATGGATTTCGATCTTCTTGCTCTACGGCTGATTTGCTAACAGTAATAACCGATAGGTTTTATCGTGCATTAGATAAAGGTGGAGAGGTTAAGGCCATTGCTCTTGACATTTCTAAAGTGTTTGATAAAGTTTGGCATGCTGGTCTCCTCCATAAGCTTTCTTCTTACGGTGTATCTGGAAACATCTTTAAGATTATTGAATCTTTTCTTTCCAATTGTAGTATAAAGGTTGTCCTTGATGGACAGCACTCTTCTTCTTATTCTGTAATCTCAGGGGTTCCTCAAGGTTCAATCCTGCAAAAACGCATTGTAAACATAGTTGGACCTGCTCTCGCAGCCAACCTTCAACCTGTCACATTGTCGTAATGTTGCCTCTCTTTCTCTTTTCTACAAATACTATAATAGGCACTGCTCTAAAGAGCTAGCGGCTTTTGTGCCATCTGCTAAAATTCATTCTCGTGTTACTCGTCATTCAATTAAGTCTCATCCTTTTTCTGTTACTGTTCTTAAGTGATCCAAAAACTCTTATTCCTCTAGTATTTTTCCTCGAACATCAGTTTTTTGGAATTCGTTTTCTTCATCTTGCTTTCCTGATTCATATAATTTGCAACCTTTTAAGTCATTTGTCAATCGTTATCTTGCTCTACAACCTTCATCTTTTCTCTTTCAGTAACTTCCAACACTAATTAGTGGTTGCTTGCAGCCTTGTTGGAAGCGAAGATGTTAAAAAAAAAAAAGAAAAGAAATAGACTGTATGGTGTTAAATTACACTGTAAGTTAGATGGAAAAATGTTTACAAATAAAGTTGACATAAACACAAAATAGATGGCAAAATAACTCATCTGCATCATCTGCAGTAAAAACTGAACCAGTATAAAAAATATTACAACAGCAACCAAAACAAAAGAGTTACAGTTTTAAGGTAAAAGTTGATTTGAATTTCAGTGCATTCACAATAGTTGGCATTAATAAATGGCTTACTCTCCAACATTATATGGCATATGTCAGAGAGTAAGCCATTTGTAAATGCATCACATTTACTAGAAAACAAGACATTAAACCTTTCATCAGCCTTTGACCTAGGTAGATCTTTAGATATAGCCCAACAAAATTCAAACTTTTACTCGCAATCAACCTTACCTATCTTTGCCTCTATTCAGGAAATCAAATCATCTTTACAAAAACAATCCACGACTGATAATCATTTAGCTGCTACAGTTAAATCAAAACAATTGTGCTAGTTTTGTGGAAACATAAGACATCCACATACTAAATGTCCTACTCTTGAAGCTATTTGTCACAAATGTAAAAAGATAGATGATTTTGAAAATTTTTGCAGGTCATCTAATGTTTCTGCTGCTGTTCCTAAAATTGATGATTACTTCTGTGCCACCATATCAGCTTCAGCAAACTCTCTCTTTTCAGTCAGTCATCATATCATCATTTATGATAAGTATAAAGCAGAAGCTTTAATTAATAGTGGGAGTACAAACAAAAGTTTCATTAACAATAAACTAGTGGCTTTATTCAATTTAGATATTATTTATGCACAGAGTGTTATTAAAATGGTAGCAGCTTTTTTATCAGCAAAATCAGATGGATATTGTTATATTTCAATAACACTTCAAAACAAAATCTATAACAAAGTCAAGTTGCATGTGCTAGATAACTTATGTATAGATATTTTCATCATGTTCTTTCTGACTATTACCATATATTGTAATGTTATCAATGAAAGGAAAGCAGCCAATTAGTTTATATGTTCTAACAAAGTCATCTGTTTTGTGTTGAAAACATGCAGATCCATTGGTTCCATAAAATATTTTTGGCACAGATTTTTAAGAGTTGCATGAGAGTATTACCATTAAGTAAGGTGGGAAAAGACCACCCTTAACGTTCGCAACTTTAACAACAATGAACATGGCCAACAACATGGGTTTCAAAGTGGAGGGGCACAATCATCTATTTCTAAAAAAAGTTGTCTATATCTAGAATTTTCTCTAAAAAAAAAAGAAGGTCCTTTTGGAAAAAAGTGGGGTATGGCCCCCAGCCCCTCCCCCCTGCACCATCGGCCTTGATGAAAACTGAACTTCTTGAATTGTTTGCTAATCTCACATAAGATTGTTGACAGATTGCCACTAGATCTAGAAATTATTCTCAAAAAGATAGAGAATTTATTAAATCTGAAATTCACTGCTTGGTCCAAGCAGAAATAATAGAGCCAAGTAATTCACTTTGTTGTGGCCAGGTCTTAGTAGTAAATGGAAAAACTAAATGTCATATGGTAGTTAATTATTCTGAAACTATTAATAAGTATACCCAATTAGACGCATATCCTTTAACTAAGATTGAAACAATTTAAAGCATAATTTCTAAATACAAAATTTATAGTACTCTCAACCTTTGCTCAGCATACTACCAAACACCTTTATCTAAAAGAGATTGGTCATATACTGCGTTTGAAACTGACAATAAGTTGTGGCAATATACTAGAATGTTTTTTGGAGTTAGCAATGGATATGCATTTTCAAAGCAAAATAGATGACTTTGTTAGAACATATGAACTAACTGACTGCTTTCCTTTATTTGATAACATTACAATATAATGTAATAGTCAGAGAGATCATCATGAAAATATGCTTAAGTTCAGATTAGCTGCCATTGATGCTGGAATTACATTTAATGAAGAGAAGTGTGTATTTTCAACTGAGACATTAGCTTTTTTTAGGTTACAGCATATCTTATAGCTCTTTAAAACCAGACCCTCATAGACTTGCTCCTCTCATTAAGTTACCCCTACCTGATAATGCAAAGTCTTTACAGTGTTTTATTGGAACGTTCTCGTACTATGTAAAATGGATAAGAAATTTTTTAGATAAAAATAGACCTTTGAACTCTGTTACTCAATTCCCACTTAATCAGCAGCAAATATCACCATTTGAAACATTAAAAAAATGAGCTTGTTCAATGTTCCATGCAAACCATTAATGAGAATATACCTTTTAGTGTAGAGACTGATGCTTCTGATTTTGCCATATCTACCACACTTAACCAGGATGAAAGGCCTGTTGTCTTCCATTCATGAACCCTTTAAGGGAGTGAACAATACTATTCATCAGTGGAGAAAGAAGTTCAAGCGATAAACGAAGCCATAAATCATTGGTGCCATTTTCTTTTAGATCAACATTTTATTCTCATCACTGACCAATGATCTGTAACATTTATGTATGATTATAAATCGAGCAATAAAAGAATGATAAAATAATGTGTTGGAGAATAGCCTTGTCTCTGTATTCTTATGATATCCATTATCATCCTGGCCAATTTAATAGTGGTCCAGATATATTTACTCATGTTAGATGTGCATATCTTCTGAATTAAAGCACTGGTTCTTATCAAAAGAGATTGAAACTAGCAGAACAACCCCTTACAACCCGACTGGAAATGGACAAGTTGAAAGATACAATTGAATTATTTGGAAATCGATTTACTCACTCTGAAATCTCGAAATCTGCCTATATCATCATGGAAAAGAATTCTACCTGATACACTACATGCAACAAGATCTCTATTATCTACTTCTACTAATTGTAGTCCACATGAACATCTTTCAACAATTTTCAACAAAGATCATCATCTGGGTCTTCAATTACTTCATGACTTTTCAACCCAGAACCTGTTCTTATAAAAAGAAATGCAATGCAAAGTAAATATAAAGATTCAGTAAATAAGGTTCAGCTCATTGAAGCAAATCCTCATTATGCTTATGTAAGATTTCCTAGTGGTCATGAGACTACAGTGCCTACTAAAATGCTGGCTCCCATTGGAACAAGTCCTATAATACAAATATCAAACAACAATTCAGAAGTAACAATCATCGATAACTATCCCCCAACCTCTAATGGTAACAATGAAAATCCTTTAATCTTCGAAAAGGAACTAGAAAACAAAATGAATCCTATAGAGCAAATTAACATTCTTCTTCATAGATCTTCACAAACTTCTAAAGCACCAGAAAAACCTAACTTATAAGTACACCTGAATACTTTTAAGAGGAGGGTGAATGTTATGTTGATGTGATATACATATACATTATTAGCAATATATTTATGTATACATATACATTTTGAATTATACTATATATACTTTATGTATCTTATTATTTTGTTATAGTCTAGTATAATTATAGCTCTTTTGAGCCAACATAATTCATTCAGGTGTTCTTTACAATTGAAAATGGACTTTTTAACAGAAAAAAAAAATTAAAGTAGAAAAAAACTAAAATCATAGCCATATGGTGATTGTTAATACTATTATTATCTTTATCATTATCACCGTCACAAGAACTAGTTTTATTATTATATATTCTTATTTATTTTTATATTGCTATTAGTTTACTTTTGTGTATTTGTTTAGAGTTACATTTTAAGTATACTTTAGATTTACATATGTAAGCAAAAGTAATAACATTAAAAAAAAACAAAAAAAAAAAAAAAAAAACATATTTAAATGAAACATCTAACCATTCTAGAAAAGAGCAGATACCAGTTGAGAACTTGTCTTTATATTTATTGTAATACTTATATATTAACTAAAATCTGAAAATTGTTTCGAATTAAATTGGGGGTGAGTAAAGCTTTACGGAACTTGGGCGTGAGGGGGCGAGACTTAAACTTTTTCTTCTAGGGGTGTCCATAAAGTACGTACGCTTTTTTTTTGGTCCACTCCCCCCCCCCCCCCCCCGCATTTTGCAATACGCCTTTTTAAGTTTCCTCCACCTTCCTAAAAGTATCTATGCTTTTAACCTATTTATCTAAAATTTTGTGATTTTTTTTTTAATTTAGTGTCTCCTTTCTTTTATAATTGACCCACTGCCCTCCCATCTCATATACGACATTTTCAGACCCCTTTTCCCCTCCGAGCGTACATACTTTATGGACGATCCTTTACTTTCTTTTACATCTTCGCTTCCAACAAGACTGCAAGCAACCATAATTAGAGTTGGAAGTTACTGGAAGAGAAAAGATGAAGATTGTATATCTAGATAACTATTGACATACAACTTAAAGGACTGCAAATTATATGAATCAAGAAAGCAAGATGAGGGAAACGATTTCCAAAGAACAGATGTTCGAAGAAAAAAACTAGAGGAATAAGAGTTTTTGGAGCACTTAGGAACAGTCACAAAAAAAGGATGAGACTTAATTAAATGACGAGTAACACGAGAATGAATTTAAGTAGATGGCAAAAGAGACGCTAGCTCTTTAAAGGAGTGCCCATGATAGTATTTGTAAAAAAGTGAAAGAGAAGCAACATTACAATGATGTTATTATGGTTGGATGCTTGATGAAAGAGCAGGTCCAACTATATTTACAATGCATTTTTGCACTTTATCTAAAAGAGAAAGGACATCATTAGAAGATCCGCCCCACATATGGCAACAGTATACCGTACAAGGTCGGATTTGAGATTTATAGAGATAGAGAATAGAATACTTAGTAAGAAAGTGTTGAGCTAGATAAAGAGATGCAACCTTAGCATAATATGGTTTTTATAAAAGATTGGAAATAAGAGTTAATCCTAGAATATGAAGGGTAGATGACTCATTGAGTACATTACCGTATTTAAATATAGGAAGAAATTATTGCGATAACGAATTCCTGAAAAAAATTGAGTTTTATCTTAATTTAAGTTCGCTACTGTGAGCCCCATGCTGTAGCAGAAGTGAGATCCTTTTTAAGCTCAAATTCCCCCTCCAAGCAATCGGAGAGTTTTGGCTTCTTATCATGACAAGAATAAATAGTAATATCATCAGCGAACAATGCCACCTTAGATGTGAGAATATGTGGTAGTGGCGGATTTTAGGGGGGTACCATGGGGGTAGTAGCCCCCACCCACCCCTTAGGACTTTTTTTCATAATTTTTTTTTTTTAATCGACTATTATTCAGAATAGTACTATTATACTTTCGAATAAAATTGACTATTATACGTAATTATAGGTATATGAACTTGATTATTACACTAAAGTACAAAAATTAATAAAAGATAGTTACTTATAAATGAAAATATGCGGACCTTTTTTATAAAAAAACCTTTAGCCCCCTCCTTGGCGAGTGACAAAACCCGCCCCAGATACTTGGAAGATTGTAAATGTAAATTAAAAGGAGTATAAGACCAAGGATTAAACCTTGAGGAACCCCTGAGAATAAGAAGAAGAGTGCTGTCCATTGAGGACAACTTTTATACTACGATTGGAAAGGAAGGATTCAATAATCTTAAGATTTTACCAGAAACACCTTAAGGAGAAAGCTAATGGAGACAACTACCATGACAAACTTTATCAAAAGCTTAATGCACAATAAAACCTATCGGTTATTACTGTTAGCAAATCAGCTGTAGAACGAGAAGATCGAAATTCATATTAATGATCAGAAAGTAAGTTATTATATTCAAAAGATTAAAGATTAAAAACCTTGCTTATTATAGAAAAAAAATTAATGGGACAGTAGTACAAATCAGATCGCTCTCCAGAATTTTTGAAAATAGGGATAACAGATGCCGCTTTCCAGCAGGCTGGAAAACAGGACTCTGATAAGCACTTGTTGAACAGTTTTGAAAGTATAGACGACAACTCCGGAGAACACTTCTGCAAGACTATAACTTTTATGTTGTCTGGGCTACAAGTTGTAGTCCAAGCTGGAAATCACTTTAGATACAGAAGCAGTAGTGATACGAATGTCAAGTAATGGATCAACTTGTTTGACGGCTATATCAGGTAGAATGCAATTAAAAAAAAATTGTTTTAGTGTAAAAGTATTGATTTACTATTTATTAGGAAACTAAACAATTTCAGAACCATTTATAAGAAATCTCAAAAACAAAATACATCATTTTTTGAAGGTATTATGATATGTTAAAGTAATTTTTCATATTATAAATAATCTATTTTAAGGTGTGCTTATATATAGGGGAGATCGGGGAGACTTCGGATACAGTGTGAAAAAGGATACTTAGAAATCTCCTACCCTGTTAACATTAGGACAATGTTGTCTATAGTCGATATGCTGGTAGACATACGCTCTTAGCTTTAAAATAGTTAGGTGACAGTTTCCCGCTAAAAAACAGATTTTAGAGTGAAAAAACGATTTTTTGGTTCTTTGATGTAAAATTTTTAAATTCCAAGTGAATTATTCAGATCCTAGTTATGAACTCTGCCAGAGTTTTTTTTTAGAGTGCAATTGGTGAGTTGGTTCAATTTTTTTTAGAATAAATGGTTACTTGCGGACGTTGTGAATGTAAGTATTTGTAATCTATATATGAGTTGTAACGATTCCCTTGATTTTTTCAATATATCTCTTATATTGGAAAATTCAAGGGAGACTTCGGACATTTCGGACATTATCAAAAGTCTTCTCCGATGCTTTAATAAAATAACAGTTGTTTGAACTTAAACTTGAAACAAAACTTTAATAATTGTCCCTATGGACAATTATTTAAGTTTTGTAAATTTTTATTTGCACAATTGTAAGGATAGATTGATAGTAGCCACAGATACTCCAAAAAAAGAGGCACTTGCAGCTGCAAAAAAAGCAAGAATGGCAAAGAAGCTTATAAAAAAGACAACCAAGAAGAAGATTCTGCAAGAAAAACCTTTAAAATGCAATTTTTCGAGAATCGTTGTCAGATGAATCAATAGACCTACAAATTTCAACGATTGAGAGTACATATAACCTTGATGACGATGGATTTAAAGATAGCAATGCTGATACTTTTGATGTGCCGGAAGGAAGATTTATATTGTAATGGTATATGGATGTGGAAAACAATCAAGTCGTAACTGTACAGTAAAAGTTGTAAAAAAAGTGAAAGGTGGTTATGAATTGGAATTTTACAAAAAAAAAAATCCCTTCAAATATGTTTATAAGAACTAATGAAGAATTTGCATTTATCGCCTATAACGATGTAGTTCGTGCATTGCCAGTTCCTACAGAAGACAAGAGATCTCGTTTTATTTGCATATTTATTTGTTTAATGTCTATAACCTTCCCTATGCATGTCCGATATACGTGTTCGAAGCATGCGGGTGACTTCGGACACTTGACTTGCATTTTTAAAATAGTTTTTAAACATTGAAAACCAAAAAAGATAAAAAAAAGTTAAAATGCTAAAAGATACCTTAATCATTGTAGTTTGACAAAAAAAAATGGTTACTTTGATAAAATGCAATAGTTATTAAATAAGTTCAGTTAGAGTAAAAACTGCCCGAAGTCTTCCCTATATATATATATATATATATATATATATATATATATATATATATATATATATATATATATATATATATATATATATATATATATATATATATATATATATATATATATATATATATATATATATATATATATATATATATATATATATATATATATATATATATATATATATATATATATATTTATATATAGGTATATTAATATTTATATATATATATTTATATACCAGCGATAAAAAAAGAAAAAAAGAAAAGGTCCTAAAGAGGTTAAGTTTGCCGACTAAATGAACGAAAAATTCATTGGTATCTTACACCCCACACACACCCTTCGCCTCAGCCTTCTTAAACACATTTTCATTTAATGACATTAAAATCAGCGTGTTACAATATGTTAGCCGAGAATGTTGAAAATATAATAAAATTATTATTTTTTTCTTGCCTTCATATCTGCAAATTGGTCTATAAAATCTTTTAAATTTAATAGATCTGCTATTTCTGCTCAACAGCTAATATGCTTAACGCAGACAAAATTTTTTATAGTAGTTCATTCCCAACGAAGCTGCAAGCGATCACTGTTAAGTTGATAGTTACTAGAAAACAAAGAAAAGTGCTAAAGAGCAAGGAAACGGTTGACAGAAGACTTTAAAAGTTGTATGAGTCACGAAAGCATGAAGTTAAGAAGAAGTTCCAAGCATTGAAAAACTAAACCAATAAAATTTTTTAGCATGAAGGAACAGATTAAAAAGATGCTAATTTGCTTAATGAGTTTTGGTAGATGGAACTAGAGATTTGAGCAATGACCATGATAGAATATGTAGAAAAGAAATTCAACTTTGCTACGATAGAAGAGTTGTTTAAGTTTGGCAGATTTAACTACGTTAGCTATGCGTTTTTGGAGAAAGAGCATCATTAGAAGAACCAGCTCAAATACGACAAGAGTATACTTCATACAACGAATAAGAAATTTGAAGTTGTAGAGAATGGAATCAGGAATAAAATAATAACGAACATTATAAAAAGCGCCATCGTTGTCCATTTGTCTGTAAATGTCCTTAAATGTCCATCTCATGGAAACATCATATTAACTATGTTTGCTCGAAAGTTTCAAAAAGTATTGGAATTTTATATAAGGCGCAAGCACATTTAGATATAAATAATTTAACTAAACATTATTACTCTTTTATTCATAATTATATAAGTTATGGAGTTATTGTCTGGGGTAGCACTGACCAAAGCAAGTTACAATGTCTTTATCGCTGTCAGAAACAGGTGATCTGTTTAATTAGTTTTGAGGATCGGATTGCACATTCTTCAATATTTTTTAATCAAATGAAAATCCTATATATAAAATAACGTACATAAAAATTTATCTTTTGTTTATATGGGGAAATATGATTTA